ATATGGGACAGGTGATGGGGGAAATAAGGAATTTCATTTTGAACACGTTGAGTTTGGGATGTCTTTTCAACATTTACGTGGAGATACCAGTTTGGGAGTGAGCACTGAAAGGGCGGGGTCTGAAGCTTAGGCCCCTGGTCGGAAGAGCAAGAAGAGCAGGGTTCCACGGTACAGAAGAGGGGCCAAAGGGGGGGCGAACCGTGAGGAGAGGGAAAAGCCTCGGGGCACTGAGTAACCTGCTCCAGTAGCGAGGAAGAAAATAACAGTGCGCATGACAATAATGAGGATAAACTGCAGCTCCTGCCATTATCAGAAACTTATTCTGTTCCGGGAACTCTACCAAGTACTTTCTATACGTATGTTAGCTTAGTCCAGCGATTCTCCACCCTTCTCATCTCATGACACACATAAACTAATTACGAAAATTCCAAGGCGCACCAAAAAACATACTATATTTTGTGTTGATTTGACCGGAAAAAGTGGGTATAATTTTGACTCACTCCCACTGGACAGCTGCTTCCATGTTGGCTGTTGTCATTTTTTAACTTGACCATTCAAGGGAAAGATGCCAGGGCCCCTGACTAAATAGTCAGGTATCCCATGTTTTAAAAATCTTTGCAGCGCACAAGTCAAAAATCACTGGTTTAGTGCCCGGAGATAGGGAGAAAGAAGGCCAGAGAGGTAACCAAACTTAACTGAGGACACTAAGTAAGTCACAGAGCAGAAATGCAGGCTCGGGCCTCCCTCTAACGAGCTCCGGTCTTTCTCCAACGTTTTTCTGCGTTTTGGGATCTTGCTTTTTCCCTCTTCTTTTCTTTGTCCTTTGTATGTGATCACAGATAGGCTGGCTTATAAATATTTTTCTTCTGTAGAAACATTTATTTTTATGTTTCCACAGTCAAAATAATTACACTGTACCATGTGACTGTGACTTCAGCACTAAGATGTTCTCAATGCTTTTTTTAAAATTTATCTTTCAATTACACTTTTGTCAATGCTTCTCTTAGTAATAAGCATGTAGACCATATTTCTGCCCCATGCATGTTCTACTGGATGGGAAATGGGAGATGTTTGCTCTTAATGTGCACTATTTATACTGTGTCCATGTTCACGTTACAAACCACGTGTCCTAAAACGACCATGAACTACTATTTTTAAAACAAACACTTCTTAAAAATTCATTAATCAATGGTAACCAGTACCCCATTTTATTACGCAGGGCATTCACTTGCTCATTTAAGGTGGGCTTGGGATTTGCTAAGAACAATTTTTCTTGAGAATACAAACCTGTTGCAAAATATGAGATGACAACAATTTACACATAACTATAAAACTTAATAAATATTGCCTAGTAATAATATCTGAGGAGCCATCTATTTTTTAAGTTATATTAATAAAAAGTGTAAGTATTACTATTTTGTTATGAGTAGTTTCCAGCAACCCCATTTTTACTATGTGACCCTGTTCCCACAACATCCTACTAGACTAGGACTAGAGACCGGGCCCAGACCGGACCACTCCTATTGGCCCGTTCAGAGCTGCAGCTGGACACGGAGAAGCAGGCCCAGCTCCATGGTCCCCATGCTATTTGCGCTGTGGGGTGGACTTACGCCACTGAAGTGCAATGCAGAACACATCAGGGAAATGCACATTCAAACCACAATGAGCTACCGTCTCACACCTGTCAGAATGGCCACCATCAATAAATCAACAAACCAGTGCTGGGGAGGATGTGGAGAAAGGGGAACCCTCTTGTGTTGTTGAAAAGATTGTGGTTTGGTGTGGCCACTGTGGAAAACAGTATGGAGATACCTTAAAAAATTAAAAATGGATGTGCCTTTCAACCCAGCTATCCCACTCCTGGGAATATATCCAAAGAAACCCAAAATACTAATTTGGAAGAACATAAGCACCCCTGTGTTCGTTGCGGTGTTATTTACAATCGCCAAGATATGGAAGCAGCGCAGGTGTCCATCAGCAGATGAGTGGATAAAACAACTCTGGGACATTTACACAATGGAATACTGCTTGGCCATAAAAAAAAAAAAAAATAAAAAAAAACCAAAGAAAAAAATTTCACCCTTTGCGACAGTTTGGATGGACCTGGAGAACATAATGCTAAGTGAAATAAGCCAGTCAGAGAAGGACAAATACTATATGATTTCATTCATATGTGGAAAACAAACAAACTGAACTAACAAGGAAAACAGAGACAGACTTGTAGATAGACAGCAGGATGATGGCTAAGTGGGGGGACCTAAGGATTGAAGAAAAAGGAAAAAGCACTCACGGACATGGACATCAGTGTGGTGATGGCTGGGAGGAGAGAGTATAAGAGAACTAAATGGTAAAGGAAAAAAATTACATAAAATTTAAAATATCAAGTGTTTCTTAAAAAAAAAAAAAAGAAAGTATCAAGTAAAGGGGGAAGATTACGTGTCCTAAAGGAGTCTGGGAGTCTGGATCTCCATCTCTCTCCCTCCAGAGGTGGGAGTGTCTTCCTTCCCTCCTATTCCATGTCTAGCTTTCTATTTCTTGAAAAATTCCCATTTGTGTGTAAGCAAGTGCCAGTACCTTTCAGCATCTTGAATCTCTAAGAGCACTGATTAGGATACCCACCACTTTGCATCATATGTATAAAAGTGTAATGTTTTATTACAATGATAATATACAAAATTTTCTTTTCTACAGTAGCAATACATTCAATCATTATTTTTTAAAGTAGTTTTCATATTTATCAATATTAATTCAAGTTTCTCATCAGCCGTACTCTTCACTCCAATTGGCCTCCCCCTACACACACACAAAACCTTTTAAAAGCACTTTTACAGAATGAAAGCCAGGCACAGGCACCAAGTTTGATCCCGAAGTGAGAGAGGAGGAAGACTTCTCGTTGTAAGGTGAGTGAGTCTTAGGGTCTTTCCTGGCTAGCTGTGTCCTGCGCTTCCCTCTCATCTCCCACCACTAAGAGAAGGTCCTAAGGGCAGGGAGTATGTCTCCTATTCCCTTTGTACGATGGCACAATGCTTGACACACCATATGTTCTATATATTTGATAGAATCGCGAGACTCACAATTCTCAGTTTTACCTACTGACGATCTGTTGTCACTCCACTAGTTAAAGGAAACATTTTCTTTCTCCCACGTGAAAAAAACAGACATAGCCAGGAGCAATGGTTTTCTACAACCAAACTTTCAGTGAGTGTCTCGTGGAACTTGGTACTGCTAGAATTCTGTAGAGTTCTTCGTAATCCAATTTTCTGAGGGAAACAATCAGTACCTCAAAATAGGGAACTAAAAATTTCATTTAGAAATGGTTTACATTGTCTACCAACTACATTAAACACTTTGTTGGAATCCAGTAGGCACCTAAAGTTAGAAGAGTCTCATTTTTTTCCCCATTTAGATACTTTGGCAAAAAAAAAAAAAAGTCAACGTGCTCCATCTTTTTGCCTCTTGTAGGCTATGTCACCCAAACTCTGTGCTTTTGTCTTTTCACAAAGAATTTCTAACACAAAGGGGAACTAGCAGAGGCTTTAAACAAAACAGGGAACTGAATCACCATGCACTGCTGTCCCCCAAAGATGGCAAGTTAAACATATGCATTTGACTCTACTCTCTCAAGAAACTTCAGTAATAAAACAGAGAAAAGCTACTTATTTTCTGTACCTTCTCCCCCCTTCTCCTCCTCCTACTCCCCTGTTGTTAACCCTCCATGTGATCTTCATTTCTATGGTTCTGCTCCTGATCTAGCTGTCCTCTTAGTTTGCTTTTGTTTTAGGTGTGGTTGTTAATAACTGTGAGTTTGCTGTCCTTTCACTGTTCATCTTTTTTATCTTCTTTTTCTTAGGTAAGTCCCTTTAACATTTCATATAATAAGAGCTTGGTGATGATAGGTAGAAAACAGACAGGGGGAGGGCAAGAATAGTATGGGAAATATAGAATCTAAAGAACTTGAGACATGTGGTCATAAACTAAAGGGGGGAAATAGAACAACTGCAATGGCATAATCAATAAAATATATTAAAAAATAAATAAAAGGAAAAAATAAAACAGAGAAAAGATTCAGAAAGGCACAAAAATCTCCCATAAAGAGAAGAAAAGAAATAAAGAAACTGAGAATAAGAAAAAAAATCAGAAGTTTCATGTAAGAGTTCTAGGAACCAAGTAAGATTCCAGAAAGAGAGAGACAATCATCAAATAAGTAATTCAAAAAATTTTCCTACAACTGAAGAACATGCATTTTTAGATCCCCAAACAATGCCCCAAACCAATGAAAATATACCCAAACCTCCCCGCCCAGGCCTCTAAGGGGGATTGCACACTAACTACTATGAGGAGCACTCTGGGAAATGTGAGCATGAGAACATCAGTGACACTGAGGAGGAGAATAAACTAAACACCTTCATAACAAAAAAATTAAATTAAATTAAACACACGTATATCTCCACCCCCCAAGCCAGGGCACATCAAAATAAAATTTAAGACCAGTAGGGGAAAGCTGAAGGTCTTGCAAGCTTCCAGGGAGATAGAAGTTTTGTACAATGAAATCAGCAGCAAGAGCAGCCTCTGTTGTTCTCAGTGGGGATGGGAAAAGTTAAAAGGCGAGGAAGCAATACCATCAAACTTCTCAAAGAAACAGAATTCTACATCTGGTCAACATACCCATGTAAAAATAAAAGCATGTTGCAACAGGCAGAGGCTCGGAATATTTCCTGCGATGCCCTCTGTCTCAGGAATCTATTCGAAGACGTGTTCAGACAAAAATGAGAGAATGAAAAGCAGGAAGACACGGAATCGAGGACACAGGAAATCCAAAGGTTCTACCGATCAGGTCAGAACAGGTCCTGAGTAACTGGTTTCAAGAAGATCGAATCAATAGAAAGGCAGTAAGTTGATTTTCAAAGTGTTAAAATATTTCACGTGCCTTCACATTTACAGAGCTGTACTTTGACATCCGTCTGAGCATTAACGAGCTCACGGGAGGTTTCTGCTCTTACCTGTAACAGAGCAGCGAACAAGTACACAACCACGAAGATCACAGTGAGAGAGGTGTGGCCACTTTTCATCAAATGAATCGTGTAGAGGAAGATTAAATGTCCAGGGATCACTAAAAGCAGCAGAACTTGAGCAGATTTATTATTTACTCCTGTAACATAAGATGTAAACGTTGTTAAAAAAACATATTTTGATTAATAATAGGTCACAGGTATTAAAATTTGAGGATTTTTAGTTACTATACCACAGAGCATCACATAAAATTCAATTCCTAAAAATAACTTCGCCTGCTTGCAATTCACTCAACTCTTTGAAATTTTCTCACTATATATGTTAATTAGATAAAAGATGGTCAATAGAAATTGGTAATGAAGAACGTTGGTCAGACTTTAATATCTATCATAAAAATGGAAAAAAGACAACAGAAAAAGTAAAAAGTTCTCAAAGAGCTGAAATGTTTTAATTTTACTTTTCCTTTAGAGTTCTTTCATGGATGTCCCAAGGTAGGGCATTACTGATCTTCATTCAAAAGTCAGTAATTTATTTTCATTAGAAAAAAAATGATAAGAATTATGAGGTTTAAAATTGTTGTTTTGCCTCGGCTGGTGCTGGTCAGTGGATTGAGTGCCGGCCTGCAAACCAAAGGGTTGCCGGTTCAATTCCCAACCAGGGCACACGCGTGGGTTGCAGGTCAGGTCCCCAGTTGGGGGCGTGCAAGAGGCAACTGATGAATGTTTCTCCGCCTCTCTTTCTCCCTCCCTCCCTCTCTCTCCAAAAATAAATAAAGAAAATCTCAAAATAAAATAAATTGTTTTAGTTTTTTGGTAATCACATGCCCAGTGGACATAAATAATGTGCTATTCCTTGTAACTGAGGTTATCACCCCTCATCCTGTTTGTTTAAGATAAATGCCTACATTTAGAAAGGCCAAAAGGATGCACATAGGAAAGACATCTGTCTAGCAATGTTTGCTCATGTCCGCGAGGTTTCTCTTTGCTGACTCATACACGAGGTATCTCAGAGAAAGGGACAAAAGAGAAAAATTATACAAGATTCCTCAGCAACTGCAGCATCGATACAAGTGGCTTCTGCTCACTGAGATTTAATGAACAAAATCTACTCTATTTAAAATCTATTTAGCGCTCAAAAATAAAAAAAAGTTGTGTAACACTCACAAACAAAATGTACATTTAGCAAATGCTGTCCGCTTATCCTCACAGAAGGGAACCGTTCCTGAAATAAAGTACGTAAAAATCAACAGGCACATACCTGGACCGAAAAACGTTCTAAAGGGGCAGTAACAGCCTTTGGGCTCCTCGGGCAGTTCTCCTGGAACGCTGTGTAAATGGAGGTAGGTAGAAATCCTGCTGGCCTGAATGGCCACCAAATTACCACCGATGCCTGAAACGCAGGAAAACACAGTAGGTGGCCTCGTGTCTTAAACAACCTGCCTCCATTCACCTAAGCGTAAGCCTCTTCATGACGCATCCTGGGCCGATAAAAACCAGAAGTTCTTCCAAAATGCTGATTTATTTAAGTTGAGGGGGATATTCCAAAGACACAAAACAAAATCATTGTTATAGAACACTTTCATTACTTTTTCAAACCTGACTTTCTGTCTGGTCTGACAGCAGACCAAAAGAAGTAATTTTTTAAAAAGTGACTATCATTACCAAGATATAAAACTAGGTAACAATATGTATCATGTTTATCATCTTAATGAGAGGGAAAGAAAGCTAGATTTACTCAAATAGCCGAGGACTGATACGTTTCTTCTCAGGTTACTAAAGGAACTCGTAAACAGTGCTAAAAAACAAACTCAAGAAAGTCATCTTTTAATCTAGGTTAACCTCTCGTACACTCTGAGAAGAACTGATATCAAGAGGTAAAACTAATTCCAAGGGTGGTAAACTTCACCTCCACGTCCCACCCCCTAAGGCGAGACAGGACACCCTAACTCTTTCTCCTTTGACAGAACATGGAAGGCAAAGGCAGCAGTCATAAAAGCAGGAGAAAACAACTGAAATTTTCAAATTCTCAAATGCTGAGTGTGGGCCAGCATTCTGGGAGTCCTAGACATGCGGGTGCCCACATTCGCCGGCCAGCTACTTCTCTAGGCCTCCGCTGGAAGAGAGCTCGCGAGGCAGACAGGGTCGGGTAGAAGACTCGAGACAGCCAACCTTGGTGGCGCACAGGCAAGAAAGCACATTTATTTCCGAATCCCTCCGTCCTATGAAGCAAAAGCTGCCTGGGGTGGGGAAGGAAGCATGCCTGCCCTTTTCTGTCCCAGAAAAAGATCAGTTGCCACTGCAGGAAAAGTAGAAGCAAAGCTGTCTGCTGCCAAAGGAGTGGAAGAAAAACCTTGCTCACGCCCGACCTGGCAAGTTTGACCGCCAATAGTGGGAGGGGAAGAAAGGCTGAGAAAGCCTCGCCTCTGAGGACCAGGGGCATAGGGGCCATCTGAGATTGAACATAGTGCAAGGGAACCCCAAACGCCATCCCATGCCTTGCGCCAAGTGACAAGAATCAGCAGCCTACTGTGACAAGAGGGGCACTAACGAATGGTTGAGCCATTCGGTGCTGCAGGCGCATTGCAATCCAGGCTTCACTCTAAGCATAAGGCAGCAGGCAAGAGCTCATCCGTAAAGAAATTTGAAGTCGGTGATGCACTAAAGGTACCTTTAATAACCACACACACACACACACACACACACACACACACAACCCCACAAAAACAAAACAAATAACACAAATCCCCTAAACTCAAGTACTGACCAGACTGGCTCAGTCCTCCACACTAATGACCTAACAGAAGAAGAGGTCTGCCTATTTCTAGGCATAAACTGTTGCTAAACATCCTACAGGGAACAGGAAGCTCCCCACCCAAAGAATTAGCTGCCCCAAATGTCAGTGGTGTCAACACTGAGAAACCCTGTATTAAAAACTGATGTACGCCTCCACTACCTGAAATAACATGCCTCTGAGAGTAAAGAAGAAATCATAATAAAACTTAGAAATTGTTTCTAGTTGAATGGAAATAAATATGACATACAAAGACACTTGGGGCATCTTATGTGCATAGGCTGGAAATGAGCCACCTGGCCAGGTGGCTCAGCTGGTGAAAGCGTCATCCTTACCCCAGGTTGGCATCCCATAATAAATTCACTGATATGCACGATTTCCTCACCACATCTCATTTAGTAAATAAAACATTCATTAGAAGCAAATGCTTAAGATAACATGAAATACAGTTTCATAAAAATGTTTTAAAAATGCACCCCAGTTTTCTAAGGGCCAACAAATTTCTTTTAAAATAGGTGTGAAAGGGGACCAAAGTCCCACGGACCAGCCTGAATAACTAAGGCGCGTAATGCTTCGCTCCGCCCTCCACAGAGTTCGCTCTGGCTCAATGGCATGGGTCCGAGGCCGGCCTCAGCCACTCACCGTGACTTCAGTATTTAACCTCTTGGGACTTCAGTTTTGTGATCTGTAAAGTGATCGTTTAATATCCAACTGACTAAAATAAGGCATACATAAAGGATACAACCGTTTCTGGACACGGTAAAGTCTCAACAAATGTTAGTGGTGACGATGAAATACGTCATACATGAAAGGCATGAGTTTCTGGACATGGTAAAGGCTCCTCCATGGATTTCTCGTCAGAGCCCCCAAAAGGAGAAGAACTGAATGTTAAGAATTATGTGTAATTATATGTAATGCAGAACACTCAGATGCATTTTTTAATGCTACATATTTGCCACAGGAACGCATAAAGAATGGTTTCCACTTCAACTTCATGTATCCTGGGGATTCTCTTGGGGGTAATGTTTGACTTGGTATTTTATTAGATACGGAACGCTTCAATGCAAATGCAGAAAGCGTGAGCTATTAAATCTGAGAACATCTACTCTATCTATAACTTCTCTTAAACTGAATTTGAAACAAAAGCTCCTAATGATTAGCTGTCACTCTCTTCTAAAAAACCCCATTGGTAGAACTTTATAGAACTGCGTTTATCATTTCATTACCATGTCCAGACTAGCATAGGTGATAATACAAATAAACTCTAATAAATAATCAACTTACGATTTTCTTCACCCCGCCCTCCCTGGCCTACCTCACTGAGTAGCCCAGGAAACACACACACTGGTGTTAAAACTGCACCAAACTAAAAATACATGGAACTAAAAATAAAATGAATCAAGACTTTATAGTCTGGTATAATTTTTCCAGAGAAGGTGAATAAAATTTTAAAGTAAAAAATGTAATTAGTGTGGGAACTTATTTTAGCCTCAACCTCTCATGGGGTTGAAGCCCCATTATGGTCTCATCATGATCAGTTATATTTTTAAACTATAGCAGAATTATTACCTTGGAATAGCTCTCTTCAATGTCAAAAATCCTTTTTTTTTTAGGGCTTCTTTTTAAAAAAATATATTTTATTAATTATGCCATTACAGTTGTTCTATTTCCCCCCTTCATTCCCCTCCACCCTGCACACCCCTCCCCCACCATTCCCCCCTTTAGTTTGTGACCATGTGTCTCAAGTTCTTTAGATTCTATATTTCCCCTACTATTCTTGCCCTCCCCCTATCTATTTTCTACCTACCATCTATGCTACTTATTTTCTGTACCTTCTCCCCCCTTCTCCTCCTCCCACTCCCCTGTTGCTAACCCTCCATGTGATCTTCATTTCTATGGTTCTGCTCCTGATCTAGCTGTTCTCTTAGTTTGTTTTTGTTTTAGGTTTGGTTCTTAATAACTGTGAGTTTGCTGTCCTTTCACTGTTCATCTTTTTTATCTTCTTTTTCTTAGATAAGTCCCTTTAACATTTCATATAATAAGGGCTTGGTGATGATGAACTCCTTGAATCTGATCTTATCTGAGAAGCACTTTATCTGTCCTTCCATTCTAAATGAAAGTTTTGCTGGATAGAGTAATCTTGGTTGTAGGTCTTTGGATTTCATGACTTGGAATACCTCTTTCCAGCCCCTTCTTGCCTGGAAGGTCTCTTTTGAGAAATCAGCTGACAGTCTGATGGGAATTCCTTTGTAGGTGACTGTCCCCTTATCTCTTGCTGCTTCCAGGATTCTCTCCTTCATTTTAATCTTGGCTAATGTGCCTAACGTAATGATGATGTGCCTTGGTGTGTTCCTTCTTGGGTCCAACTTCTTTGGGACTCTCTGAGCTTCCTGGATTTCCTGGAGGTCTATTTCCTTTGCCAGAATGGGGAAGTTCTCCTTTATTATTTGTTCAAATAAGTTTTCCACTCATGGGTGTTCCTCTTCCACTTCTGATACCCTTATAATTTGGAGGTTGGAACGTTTAAAGATGTCCTGAAGGTTTCTAAGCCTCTCCTCATTTTTTTGAATTCTTGTTTCTTCATCCTTTTCTGTTTGGTCATTTTTTTTTCTCCTTCTGGTCCACTCCTTTGATTTGAGTCCCAGTTTTCCTTCCATTACTTTTGGTTTCCTGTGTATTTCCATTCATTTCAATCAGTTTAGCCTTCATATGTTTCTCTAATTTGTGACTAAAATCAACCAGTTCTGTGAGCATCCTGATCACTAGCGTTTTGAACTGTGCATCTGAAAGTTTGGCTATTTCTTCATCGCTTAGATTTATCGGCTCTGGGGCTCTGAGTTGGTCTTGAGCCATGTTTTGATCTGTTTGTGCCTGTTAGGTATGGGGAGCAGAACCTTAGTTGTTCACCAGGGCGGGGCCACCCGGGTTGCTGGTTTGTGACGCTGTATGTGGGGGCGGGGTCAGAGAGGGGCAATGGCGGTTCCCTCTGCTGCTTCCTGCCACTGTGGCCTGCGTGGTCCATCTCACTGCTTACTCCTTCACCGGTTTATCTGAGCGCAAATGTGTGACCGTGATCAGCCCTCAGTGGGTCCTCTGCCTTGCACCCTCAGTGGGTCTGCCTGCTTCTCCACACCTGGGATCCACCCACGGCTGCTGGCGCACCTGGGTTGCCAACTGGGTTGGTCCAGTGGATCTTTCCTGCCTGACCCGGCTCTGCTGCTGTCTCTGCCCCTCTTACAGGTTTGGCTGAAGGGTTCGTTGTTGTCAGACTTCTGTGTACTTCAATTTTTCTGTGGTTTGGCTGCGTTTTTGTTACTAAAACTTTGTTGTTCTTAAACTTGGTTGTGCGAGAAGGCACAGTGCTTCCACTTACGCCTCCATCTTGGCGGAAGTTGCCTCAAAAATCCTTTCTTGTGATCATGATACACATATATTTAAGAGCTAGTCCACCCGCACTTCTGTTAAATTATTTAAGTTCTTTAGACTAATTGCATTACTAAAGTGAGTTGAGAATGTGTAAAGATTGTGTCACGTAAATTAATAACACAAGTTATTAATAAAATAACTTGTGTCAGTATACAAATAATTAACTAGTTGAGAGCCTTCGACATCCACAAGACCTAATTTTTAAGTGCCTTATGCTAGAATAAGCTCACCTGATACTATAGAGTTTGATAGGATAAATTATCAGCAGGGTTATCTAAGAACTGCTTTAAAACAGTTATTTAAGAACTGCTTTAACAACTTCATGTTTTGTTAAATTTAGAAATGTATGTTTCCAGTAAATGTTTAGCACTCACATCATAGGATATATTTCAAATGATGTCAAGAATTCTTTGGCTATCCCCACGGGCCCCGAAGTGAAAGTTTACCTTGTTACAAAGGAACCCTTACAACGAACTGCACAACCGACCTGCTGTCCTCCATATACACCTGCATGTTCTAACCACCTCGACAAATCGCATCCTCACTGGTCCTGCTCCCGTGGCTCCCCGTCAGAGGGCACATGTGGGAATCACCCTTTTAGTTTCAAGAAATGCAGAGGGGTGGGGGAATGTGGCTTCCATGTTTTCATGTTGTTCAAAAGAAATACACATCGCCCCCTCACAGTGAACACCCTCTCATCTACAGAAGGTCAGGCACATCCGCTTCCCAAGCCTCTAATTCATTACCGTCTTCTGCTTCCTTCCAGTGCGCCTGCCAACAACCCAATGAATGACTGACAAAGACTGCAAGTTTTCCATCTCTCTTTCCGTAGGTCATGCATCCTTTTTTTTAATCCTCACCTGAGGACGTGCTTATTGATTGCAGAGAAAGGGGAAGAATGGAGAGTGAGAGGGAGAGAAAGATCAGTTGGTTGTATCTTGCACAGGTCCTGACCAGGTACTGAACTAGCAACCCAGGCATTGAGCCTGCGACCAGGAATTGAGCCTGCGACTTTTAGGTTCACAGGACAATGCTTCAACCCACTGAGCCACACTGGCCAGGGCTAGCTCATGCATTCTTAATGGGGACAGAAATTGGTCTGGGGGGCTCATAATCTTCCTCATCTTATGTATAAAGAACAGCTATACACACTGTGCATAAATGGTAAAAAGGATATCTGTGATATTAAAATTTCATGGGTAAGCACTATTTAGGAAAAAACGTTTAAGGTGGCTCTTTCAAGGCTCGACCATGAGAAGGAGTCTGAGAAACCCGCCTTTGGTCAGAACTTCCTGACCAGTGCGCTGTGAGTGGGTTACGGGGGTGTTGAGATGCGGACCTTCCAAGTTCTGCAGGGGCAGGCTAGGCCTGCGGTGGCAAGTGGCCTCCTTCTCCGCCGAAGTGTGCCGCCTCTGATTATACTTTCCCCGTGTGCAAGGACATGGGAAAGGCTGGGAAACACTGCCCTGGAGAAATGAATCCATCTACTTTCTTGCGACAAAGAAGGCCATTGTTGTAAGTAAGGCCCTTCACCTGTCTCCATCTCCTGCCCCTGCCCCTGCATCTCCCCGTCTCTCGAGGACTCCTCTCCTCAACACGCTAAACCAGGGCGCATCCCGTCCTGCCTAGGCTACTGGCAGTCCACCCTCCACGGCCTTGCGACCTCATCACTCGGGATCTCGTGCCCTCCATCTTCCCTTCCCTACTGCTCCCTCCCCACTCACCAGTAGACATATCTACACCTCTCCTGTCCTGAAGAAAATTCCTCATTTCGACTTCTAGGTGTCATCCTAATTCCATTCTTCTCACAGGCAACCATTTTACAAGAAACCTAAAAGTGCTACTTCCATGTTCACTGTTTTGTTCTTAATATTTAAAAGACACAAAAATATTTGTAAAATATATGTAAGCTATAAGGAATCGTACTACAAAACCCATGCACCCACCACCCAGTTTTTTTTTAAAAAGGAACACTGCAAAGCTCTAGAATTGTTTCTTGTGTCAGAGGAGATAACAGGAATATTTATTAAACCCTTAGTAACAATGGGTTGTTGTAAGTGAAGTTAAGTTTCTCAATGAAATGTTGGACAATACAGCTCGAATGATCATGAATTTGTAATATTTGTGCCAGTGAATTCATCAACTAATATTCACTGTAGGGGACTGGAAGGGGTGGAAGGGAAGTGGCAATTGTTCCAGGCAGTGAAAATTCGAACTCTGTGTGGCCACAATGTTAGAATCTGGTCAGAGCGACTAAGAGAAAGTTGGGCATGAGCCACCGCGTGTAGGGGGCCCAGAGAGCTGAACAGAAGTTGTCCAAGTGAAGTTGACAGGCAGGAGACACCACCGTTAAGTTCATCATCTTAGGACATGTATTTAATAAAAACTTTAAGGAAGACCAGTAGGCAGTGACATTTAACTAGAGGTGGACAGAAAGTGAGTGGGGAGGCTACTTTGTTACTTGAATGATGCCTAGAGTGAGACATATGCTTCTTATACTGTAAGTGAACAAGGGGAAGTGAATAAAGGGAAAATCTGTAACTTTATTCACTGTAAGTGAATAAAGGGAAAATCAGCATGCTTGGGTCATTGTCTCCTGAGGGAGGGTGAAGGCCCAGGTTGAATCAGACTGGACCCTGATTTGGAAAGCAGGGGAGGTGACAGGCAGAACGGTGGCACCAGGAAAATTGGGAAAATCTGCAGGGGAAATTTGCTCCTGGTCATTCTAATGCTATATAAAAAATTAAATGCAGAGTAGACATTTTAGACATAAAATTAGATTTTGGAGAACTTGCCTTCACATAACACATTTTCTTATACATAAATATACAAAAGTAATTTATATTCAATGTATAGCATATCCCCTGACATGTTTTTCCCCAGGTGCAATTACTTTCTAAGTTACATTGGCTTTGGCTGTACTAAAATCCAATTAATAAGAGCCAGCCCCACACCCAGTAGGACTGGATTAAAATGATCTTATTAAACAGAATCCATAAAAGTTCCTGTGACCTTAAGTGTAGTAATTCCCCTTTTATAGATAAGAAAACACAGAAGGCAGATTTAAAGGGATCTGCAGAGGAATGACAGATGTTTTTTCTTTAACTTTTAATTTTTATTAAATTTATTGGGGGAGAATGATGGATTTTAATGAACTGAACTGACTCAAGCAATGTATAAACTGTGCTAACTCTAATTTATCCACGAAAATTGATAGCAGCAATAAAACAACACAAGATAGCAGATAAGCAGAGAGTAGCCAGGATTGCAATATCGAATTTTGCCTCACTACCCTTAAAAATCAGGTATGCCTGACTCTCAAACTCATACATAGTGATAAGATTAAAAAACAGTTCTTTTCAGAAATGCGCTCTGCATACTGAGAAAAGGAAATGCCATTTCCACTGGGAGAGGTGACCTGGGGTCGAAGAAAGAATGAATGGGGATGTGTGGACAACCCTCTCTAAATCTGAGCCCTAAGATGCCTAGGAGCATCTAAGAGCATCTAAAGGTTTGATATCATTATGAGATAGTATATCTAATTCTTACCATTAATAACTGGTGTGTACACAACGATCCCAACCAAGTTTGGATCAGACACAGTTGTGTCCAGAATAAGGCCTCCAAGGCTGAAAGACACAAAATCACACAACTTAGGGAAGAGGAAAAGAACTGTACTGATTTGAAGCTGTTCTTTACACACAAACCACCCTACTTTTAAAGATAAAATATCTAGACATTAAAAGATAAAATGAAAAATATTCAAAGTAAAAACCAATGTCGAGCCCTGGCTGGTGTGGCTCAGTGGATTGAGCACCAGCCTGCAAACCAAAAGGTGGCTGGTTTCATTCCCAGTCAGGGCACACACATGCCTGGGTTGTGGTCCAGGTCCTCAGTTGGGGGTGTGTGACAGGCAACCAATTGATGTTTCTCTTGCACATCAGTGTTTCTCTCCCTCTCTGTCTCTCTCCCTTCCCCTCTCTCTAAAAATAAGTAAAATCTTAGGAAAAAAAATCAGTATCAACCACAAAATGTTGAAAATAAAACATAGCATAAGCAAGCCACAGCCCCACATTTCACAGCTCTCTTTCCGATCTCCAAGATACGTCACTGTAAAAAGGAAACACATACACTTTAAGAGCATTCAAATGTATGTAAGGACATATAAAAAATTATTAACAACATCTCTCTCTAGGGGCTGAGATCAGGAGAAGATTAATGGTCGTTTATATACTTCCACACTTACTAAAATTTTAAACCATGTGCATTACTGCTCTTATAATTTAAAAATAATGTTAAATGAGTATCTTTTCATATTCGAAGTAAACAAGGAAGTAAAGGGATGACTTTTATTGTCCTATAAACCTAGATATAGTTAGGGCATGTCTTATCACTGGTAAATTAAAATAATGAGTTACAGCCATGGAAAGAGATGATTTTGAAAACAGGAGTCTGGAAAAACAACATACAGCTACAGATATATAAGTCAGTGAAGTTATCAATTGGTTAACCTGGGTCTCTTGGCCTACATACTATAAAACATTGCCAGTCCCAATCTTGTCCAAATCTTCTAAGAAAATGCAATTCACATTACAGAAAAAATGAACTATACACTGTCACAGAACAGGGGTTTATGGTCAAAATATCGAAGACTCTCACCACTACTTGATAGTAAACATTAGGAAATTATTAAGTCTTTTTATTTTATTTTAATTCTTTAGTATAATAGATGAATAGCTTAACATGCTTTAACTGTAGAGTACACATTAAAAAATACACTATTGAATCCAAAAATAGTCGTCCTTACCAATAATTGAGTATTTTAAGGTCAATTTTTAAAACATATTATTTCATAGGAAAACAGTTATATTTCAAATAATAAATGTCTCTGATAAAATGCACAGATCATGGTGTGCACATATAATGAACACTTGATAAAAAGTATTTTTAAATAATGTTACCCAGGCAATAAAACTTATTAGAGAAAAGTTAGAAAATATAAACCAAATAAGGAAAAGCAACAATAGTTACGTCATTCATTCAAAGTCATACTGTAAGCACATAATAGCCTCCTAGACATTTTTAAACATGGATTTTTTTTAAAAAATTAAAACTCCCATGTTCATGGAATGAAAGATGTAGTAAAGATTTAAAAAATAAAAAAGGCACAATGAAAACATAAATAAAATTAAAACAAATTGTAAAGTTATTTTTCTTCACTTTTATTAAATATTTTTAGCAGACAAAGAAATGGCATTATTTTAAAAGTGAAAGTACCACAAAGCTTATAAAGCAGTCTCTGCTCCCACCCGCCTAGACTCTGCTCTCTGCTAGCAACTCTTTTCAACTTCGTTACGTGTTTCTTGTAGCATTTAATTCTGTGTTTCTAAATAAAATGTTTCCCTACTATTTCTTTTATTTTTTGCTTTTTTCTCAAATCTTTATTCTATTTTTTAAACTCTTAATTAAATCTGTATTGTATTTTTTCCCCATTACCATTTAGTCCCCTTATACCCCACTAATTTCAGCAATTGCCACACTGCTGTCCTAAGCATGAGTCCTTTTTCCTTCCTTGCTCAATCCTCCCACCACCCATATTCCCCCGGTCATCTGCTCTCCATTTATGAGTCTCTCTGTTTTGCTTATTAGTTCAGCTTCTACATTAGAATCCACATGAGAGTGAAATCATATGGTATTTGTCCTTCTCTGACTGGCTTGTTTCATTTAGCATAATGTTCTCCAGGTCCGTCCATTACTGTTGCAAACAGTAAAAGTGTCTTCTTTGTTATGTCCGAGTAGAATTTCCATTCTGCAAATGTCCCATGGTTGTTTTATCCACTCATCGGCTGATGGACACTTGGGCTGCTTTCATATCTTGGCGACTATAAATAACGCTGCAATGAACATAGGGGTGCTTGGGTTCTTTCGAATTAGTGTTTTGGGTTCCTTCAGATATATTGCCGGAAGTGGGATCGCTGGGTCAAAGGGCAGATCCATTTTTAATCTTTTGAGGTATTCCCACACTGCTTTTCACAGTGGATGCACCAGTCTGCATACCTACAGACACTGAAAAAGGTTCCCCTTTCTCCACATCCTCACTAGCACTTGTTATTTGTTGATTTACTGATGATAGCCATTCTGCCAGGTGTGAGATGGTATTTCATTGTGATTTTAATTTGCATTCCTCTGATGATTAGTGACATTGAGCGTCTTTTCATATGCCTATTGGCCATCTGTATCTCCTTTTGGAGAAGTGTCTATTCAGGTCTTTTGCCCATTTTTTAATCAGGTTGTTTGTTTTTTTGGTGTTGAGTTTTATAACTACTTATATAAATTTTGGATATGAACCCCTTATCAGATGTATTGGCAAATATGTTCTTTTATTCTGTGGGCTGTCTTTTTATCTTGCTGATTTTTTTTTTTTTTTTGCAAAAACTTTTTAATTTGGTGCAGTCCCATTTGGGGAGATAACCCCAATAAAACATTTCTACGAGCAATATCCAAGATGTTGATGCCTATGTTTTCTTCTAGGATTTTTATGGTTTGGGGTGTAAGATTTAAGTCTCATGTTGTCTAAGATGTTTCTTAAGCTCTCTCCATTTTTTTAAAATTATTTTTTCATTTTTTAAAAAGATTTTACTTATTTATTTTTAGACAGATGGGGAGGGAGGGAGAAAGAATGAGAAACATCAATGTGTGGTTGCCTCTCACGTGTCCCCTACTGCGGACTTGGCCCTACAACCCAGGCGTGTGCCCTGACTGGGAATCAAACCAGCGACCCTTTGGTTCGCAGGCCGGCACTCAGCCCACTGAACCACAGCAGCTGGGACTAAATTCTTTGCTCTTTTTGCTGCTCTGCCTGGGTGTGTTTTTCTACCTTGTCTTCCAAAATGCTGATTTGATCCTCTCCTTCATCTAACTTCCTGTTTATTCCTTCCAGTGTGCTCTTTATCTCGGATATTGCATTCTTTCTTTCCGACTGGTCCTTTTTTTATGGTTTCTACATCATTTTTCCTGTTGTTGAGTAGCCCTATATCATTATTCTAAACTCTCTGACAAATTGCTTGCCCTTCTGGAGAATTCTCTTGTTCTTTCATTTGGGATCTGTTTCTTTGTCTTCCCATTTTGGCTGATTCTTTGTGTTTTCCATCTCAGATGTTAAACTACTCAGTCAGCGAACTGGTCTGTTGTTAATCTAATCAAGCTGTGATCAGCAGTCTGGCTTAAACACCCAGGGTGCTTCTCACCCTATCTCCTCACTTTAGTCCCTTCAAATTCTCTTTCTCTCCCTATCCTGACAACCTAGTTACCAGTTTGGGTGAAATATTTAGGGTTCACTTTATCATGACAGTGGGATCATAATTCACAACTGAGCCACACAGCATATGATTAAGTTGCCTCACTTGTCCTTTTTGCTTTATCTCATATTGGTTTTTTTTTTTCCTTTTAGCTACTTAGTACTAATTCCGCCTCAGATCTGCAGCAGAGTTAATGAAATGCCTGTGACCACAAACTTCTCAGGCAGGTAATCAATCAATTCCACTTTTTTTTTCCTAGAGACACCCCTCATTAAGCCCCCTGCTCTTCTGCGCACCTGGCCAGTTGCTCCCTCCACCTGGTGAGCAGCCGTCATCCCTCCCTCGCCCCAGTCTCCCCGCCCTGAGTCTTAGTCTGTGCACAGTGACGAGTCCCAGCATTTCACAGGACCCCGTTGCTGGAATCCTCCAGGAAAAAAAAAAAACAGTCTACATTACAGAAAGATGAGCCATATGCCATCCACATTCCTACGGCATCTGATTTCCTCGTCGTGATAAAACTGTCTTTTATCAGCTTTTATAAGAAAGGGTATATGGGAAGCAAATATTTTGAAAGCCTGCATTTCCGAAAACTTCCTGAGTCTGTCTTTACGTTTGGTTGATGCTGCAACCATATTTTATGTTCAAAATCATTTTCCCTCAGAATTTTGAAGGAATCACTTCTGGTGTTGCTACTGGACATCATGCTGACTCCCAGTACTTTATATTCTGGAAGTTTGGGGGATTTACAATAATGTGCTCTGATTTGGGTCCGTCCTACTGCAATTCATCGTGCTGAGTCCTCTGCGGGCCCTTTCAGCCTGGAAGCCCATGATTCCAGGGGAATCTTCTTCGGTTCTGGGGAATTTTCTTCTGTTACTTCTTTGATAATTTCCTCTCCGCATCGTTTGCCTCCAGTTAGCTACCTCTCTGCTCTCCGTTCTGCTCTCCAGATGGTTCCTCAACCCTGTCTTCTAACTGTTTCACTAGACTTTTTGTTTCTGCTACTTGTATATTCTTAAATTCCAAGAGCTCTTTTTTTTTCAGTCCTCCTTATTAAAGCCTTCTGTTCTTACAGAACTGTGGATGTCATAGCTTCTTTTATTTCTCTGATGACACTGGAGATAGTTTTTTGAGATTTTTCAACCATCCCTGGACCTTCTTGGAGTGGCTTTTCTTTTTTGTCTCTGCCTTTCAGGTTAGAAGCCTCAACCAAATGTCCAGTGATCAGTTACCGTCTACGCCTCCTTCAGAGTCTATGCCTCCGTCAGGGGCTCTGCAAAGCACGCTGGGAGACCTCTGTGCCCCTGCGCAGAGCTGGTCAGTGGGTGGGCCTCACTGAACAAGAGTCAGATGCAAATGCAGCTCTTTCACTAAAAGACCCACGAGGGTCAGTAGCTGCAGGTTTTTCTGTGGTGCTAGAGACTTTCCCCAGAAAGACATTACCTAATATTTCTCCTGGGGACATAAGCCTGCCTGCCAGCCACATACGCCTACCTTGTGCAGGTGTTTCTGAACTTAGAGCCTCTCTGATTTAGTCTCTCCAGAGCGATTCTGTTAAGGTGGGAGGGGCAGCTACCTGGGTGGTCAAACTAGAGAAAAGGCCTTGAGGGTCCAATTGCTTCTTACATACACCTTCAGCCAACCTTCGTTTCTGCTTGCAGAAGTACTCAAGGCCCCTCCACCTTCTGAGTTTCTGAGGCTCAGACCGTGCGCCTCCCAGGGGTGCTCCCTGCCCTGCAGGCCCTTGGGTTTTAGCTTCTTCCACTCTGCTGACCACCAGCCCCCTGACTGCTATCTCAGCAATTTCGCACCTGCTGTTCTCTCTGCTCTCCTCCTTTACCTGGCGTTACAGCTTTTTATCCTTTTACTGTCACTTTAGTAATTTCAGGAAGGGGAATGAACACCTGTCAATCCACCATGTTTAACAGGAAATTCATACTCACTTGTACTTTATTACTCTTTTCACCAAATGTATAATGAACACCTGTCCATACCAACAGAAATATGACAGCGTTCACTTTTAACGACTCACTGACATTCCATCCTGTGGCTGTGCCACCCTTTATTTGATCAATACCTGGCTGCTAGGCCTCTCAGGTGTTCTCTTTTATTAAAAATTCCTCTGCAATTAGGATCCTTGTAACTAAATCTGTTGTGTATGCCCTTAATTATAGCCTTACATCCTGTCAAATCCTGTCACAGTGGAAGTTGACAAGTGGTACGCCCACTTCTCAGGCCCTCTGAGAGCTACCTGAGCAAGTGGTAGCTGTCAGATGAAACACAAGTGATGTCCTCATCAGACTCACACACACACACACACACACACACACACACACACACAAAGACGAACACCACTAAATTTCACTCAACAATTGGTTAAAGATTTGGTTGGAAAGAAGTGTGAAACTGGTTGCCAAATGAGGTTCTGTACATCTACTGATTTCAGTCATTCCTATCACTTATACCCATTATTACCTGGGATAATAAGAACTGGATACACAATATAATTGACTCATGAAATAAAAACAGAAATTGATCATAATATAATTGATTCCTGAAACTTAATTGTTTTAATATACACACAGATGCACATGGACCACACGCACACACACACACTTTGATACTAACCTACTTACTACCATGGCAGTTATGACCGGCTCCCAGCCCCAGTGCAGAACGGTCCTTGTGGCTGGATGCTTGGCCGCTACTACAATCCAGATAGGAGTGAGAGCCAAGAAAAAGATGCCAACTAGTGGGGAGACGTAGTAATAGGTCTCTAAAATGAAAAAAGAGAGAGTATTTCTATTTCTGTTCTAACCACATAGCAAATGTAAATCCTAAAAACTTACCAGAAGATACATTATCAAACATATTCACATGCTATTGATTTTCTAAAACTCTCAAACAAATTTAAACTATAGATAAGGTAAAAATATTAACACTGATTGAAATGGCTAGGCAACCTAGATGGAAATAGCAATAATAATAAGCACAACAAGAACAATAGTAAAAAAGCTAACATTTATTTCACTCCTACTACTTAGGCACTGTGCTAAATGCTTTATGTTCATCAACTCGTTTAAGTGCCGTCACAAGTGTGAGATATATACTGTCGTTTCTATTTCATGAAGAAACTGGGCTTAGTAGTTTATAGGGTAGAAAACTGAAAAAGTTGAAGCTTTCAAAGAAAGCTCGAGAACTGAATATCAAGCCATAGTATGAACTCCACAAGACTAAGCCACGAATAATTGGAGGTTTGCGAACTGAGAAGTTCTCAGAGTTTAACAAAGAGCTAAAAGTCATTCAAGATCTAGCCCCCTAGAGAGGCGTCTTTGAACACTGAGACATTCGGCAGACCCACGAGGGTCAGGTCTGAGTAGTGAGGCCCACTCTCGCAGGAGGTCTGCTGTGGGTCAGCCCCAGTCAGACGGGAACCAAGCCTTGAGAGGCTCAAGCTAATCCGCAAATAACCACCTACAAGAGCAAAGTCCAATACTTTGTAAAGTAAGAAAAAACTTTACAATATTACATTCACAATGTCAAGCATCTAACCAAAGATTATTTTTAAGAATTCGGGATAATATTTGGTAGCTTTTACAAACTTCATCAAATACCCTGAGACATTCTACTTATGTTAGACATTTCACCTGTATCATCATAAAAGTATCCAAGAACTTAAAATAATATTTATAAAGCTAATAAATTAAATGAACAAATGTAGTGAGTCTTAAGTTTTCATAAATATTCATAGAATATCTAGAAATTTGGTAAGATTTCTATTTAAAATCACAAGAATAAATCACTTAATTATAAGTTTTAAAATGGAATTAGCCCTGGCCAGTGCGGCTCAGTGGATTGAGTGCCAGCCTGTGAGCTGGCAGGTCTCCAGTTCAATTCCTTGTCAGGGCATATGACTGGGTTGCAGGCCAAGTCCCCAGATGGGGGCATGTGAGAGGCAACCAGTTAATGTTTCTCTCCCTCTCTTTCTCCCTCCCTCACCCTCTCTCTGGAAATAAATAAAATCTAAAATAAATAAATAAAAATGAAATTAAAAGACCGACATGTTACTCCATTGGGCTAAGTACAAGTATACAAAAGAAATATATACTGCCTCATTAGCATAAAACCATTAACACCATGAGTTGAATTCTCAAATATTTTATACTTAATTCTAAATATCCATTGGGTTAAAAATTGCCTGTGTCTTTTTGAAACAATTACATTGTTCCAGGACATTTTGGTAATATCATTTTAACTGACTCTTAATACTTATTTTGTATAGAGGAGACTTCACAACTTAAAGACAGTTAATCTCCTAGTCCTTGTAGCATTCAGCCTTAGATTTAAGCTCAATATTACTATATTTTTCTGACATCTCACTCCTGGCTAGCATGACTCAGTGGATTGAGCGCCAGACTGCAAACCAAGGGGTTGCTGGTTCGATTCCCAGTCAGGGCACATGCCAGGGTTGCGGGCCAGGTCCCCCAGTAGGGGGCACTTAGGGAGCAACCACACATTGATATTTCTGTCCCTCTCTTTCTCCCTCCCTCCCCCTCTCTAAAAATAAATGAACAAAATCTTTAAAAAATAATTTTTTCCTGACATCTCACAAAATTCTTGAACCCTATACTTACTCCTATCCCTAATTGTAATTTTATATTTCTTCATCTTCCTAACATATTTACAGATCTCACATATAACTAAAGATGTTTGAAATGGATAAAAATTCAAATTTCTTCTAATCATGCAGAAATAATTACTGTAGATAGTAAATTAATATTTAAACAAACTTTATTCTCCTGGCTTTATCTGATTTGCTATCATGTCTTCAAATAATTATACTAATAGAATTCATTTAACTATTTTCCTCCATTTAAAGAGCTTTAATGTTACATATAGATTCATTTTCTCTATGATTTTTTTTTAAAAATGAAAAGACCTTTATTGAATACATTCTAGTTCTCCTTTTTAACCCACTGGACAAGGATAAACAACATCCTAGTTAGGAAGCATCCTTACCTCCTAAAACAACTAAGGTTGCCAACAATCTCTATAGGATTAAACAGAAAACTAAAAGCATTAAGATCCATTAAACACAAATGAAAAGAACAATTCTGCTTGGTCAGATCATCTTAGAATTTCATTTTCAGGTCAAGAGAGGAGCACCATGCCAGGCCTTTAAATTATTCTCAACATCGAATCTCTGGAAGGTCATCTGAAGTTGAAAAAAAACCACCCACCATCTCAACCCAAGAATCACTGCTCTGAATTTTCAAAGAGAAGAAAAAATTTCTCAGGAATGAAACCAAAAATAATAAGCACACAGTTCCTCAAAAACTGAAACTGAGTTGTTAAACACTAAAAAAAAAAGTGGGAAAACCATGATAAAAATAAAAGTATCTAAAATGATTTACTGTAAATGTGTTCTATTTCAACAAAGCTAACATACCCATTCCCATCAAACTAGACCATATGTATAACTAACTGTACAGAACTCTCCTTCCTTTTCCCTGGGTAACTTGGAATCCGATTCTGATAGCTAGGAAAAAATTACAAATATTGAAAAAGGGAAGTGCTGAAACAGTCCTCTTTTTAGGATGTCATTCTATAAATGTCATAAAGGTGAAGAATTACTTTTAGAAAATCACTAGTGCATATATTGAGGTAGAAGACAGTACAGAGGAGACAAATGGAGGTGGAAAAAGACTTGACTTAGGGTGGTGAACACCCGATACAATATACAGATGACGTACTATATAGATTTGCACTCCTGAAACCTATATAATTTTATTAATCTATGTCACTCCAATAAATTCAATTTTTTTAAAAAGAAAACCACTAATGATACAATCAGCAATGGAAAAGGGTCGACTAACAGCCAACCTTTACCCAGTTCTAGAGATTCCCTCATTATGCTTTCTCCTGCCTCTTTAATCCACCACCAAATGGATTTCATGTATCTTCCTTATGTTTTCTCCTTTGATTCTAATGCATTAAAGGAACTCAAAACTGCCACTCTCCAGAACATTTTCTCAGTCCTTTGAAATTTTGCTCCTGGGCATGTCTTCAAAAACTTGGCTTAAATAAACTCTTAAAAAAACTTTTTAAGAAAGCTAGCCACAAATTCCTGCATTAACATGAAAACCTAAAAGAATAGCTTCCTCCTCAATGAAATACTGAAATGACCCTAATCAAAAGAACACTTTATATGAATTTCCAGGTATGTAAAAGGGTACTATGGGAAGCTGAATAATGGCCCTCAAAGACATCCACATCCTAAGCCCCCAAATCTGTGAATGTTACCTTATACAGCGAATCCTTTCAAAGTCAAGGATTCTGCAATGGGCGGGTTATCCTGAATCATTACAGTGAACCCCAGATGTAATCACAGGTGTGCTAAGTGGTAGGCAGTAGAAGATCTGACTACAGAAGAGAAACCAATGCGACCACAGAAGCCAGGACTGAGTAACGTGGCTGCAAACCAGGGAATGCTGGCGGCCCCCGGAAGACGGGAGAGGCAGAGGATGGGCTTTCCCCTGGAACCTCCGGAAGGAACCAGCCCTGCTGACACTCTGATTTTAGCCGTGTGTGTGTCCAAAGCATATCATTTTGGGCGGTGGCCTCCAGAAACAAGGGTTGTGATCATTTGTTACAGCAGCAAGAAGAAACAAGTACAGGTGGAGAAGCAAAACCTAGTGGGATTTTAAGCCTAATTAACGCCCGTATATCCTAGTACTGATTCCCAGATATACATCAACTACGGACAAGTCAGGATTAAGACAGCTAACGTGGTTCAATTGCTAGGATTTCATTTAACCACCAAACATAACCGCCATCTTTTTCATTCATGGCTTTCACCTTTTATTAGATGGTTGGTGGCACTTTACAGCCACTGCTATGACACTGTCAATAGCATTTATGATTCCCACCCTAAATTCTTCCGACATATGTAACGGCTGTGTGTGACATCCTTGTACGTTAGCTGTTTCTGTGGAAACAACAAAGCAATGGGAATTGGAAGCTGTAAACAATGTCTTGAACGCCCTTTATAACAACCAGCAGGATTTCCTCACTAAATTGACTTCTAGGGGTCGCTCTAAACTAAGATGGTGCAGTATGGACAAATGCTGAAGAGTGACATGCATGACAAATTTAGATTCTACTCACATCACCACATCAAGGCGGTGACATTCTAGAGTGTCCTGCGAATAACCAGGTGGCATCCCTGTTAGTGTCCCTAGGACTGAAGTAAGAACCTGAGGCTGACTGTTGCCATTCTTACAGCTTCAACTAGCCACCTTTTTAAGGTTAACCTTGAAGAATGAGAATCAATCAACGTTTTGCTTCTCAGAACTTGCCCCAAAACAGAAAAGCTGATCATTTTCAAATCAATAAAGACCACGTACATAGGAGGATTACACAGCCATGCATATAAACAACTAAAAAGACTTTTCAAAATCTTCACATCATGTAAGCAAGAACAAAGAAAAAAGACAACAGTTGTGTGCACCTATTTCAGTTACTGGCCCAACTTCAGATTTTTTAATAGCTTTTAAATATTGTTGCCTGTTTAGAGATTACTATGTGAATGAATAAATGCCTTTGCATTTTCTCTGTAAATCATAGCAAAGTGTATCATAGTCCAGAACTTGTATTACTCTCTAAACTTTTTATTTCCTCTTCTATTTGAAATAGATTTTTTTTAAAGCCATATGTTGCCATTTTAATTTTTCCATAGTGATACTAATCTCTAGAAACTTTCTGCTAAGGCAAGATACCCTAGCAATATTTCCCTAGTACTAAGTCCTCATCCAAAGGATCACTTTCTGTTATAATCTTCTATGTTACTGGATAGATACCATGATACAATCATTCAGAGGGATAGCAATCTTCTATTGCCCATGTATCTACCACTTCCTGAATAACCTCTACTCTCATTAACTGGGTAGCATTCAAGTGGAGTAAATCGTTTGGTAAAGTGCAATTTACTTAACATCCACTATGGGGTGCTACAAAAATAAATAAAACAGGTTTATCTTCAAGAAAGTTATATGCTCACAAAGGAAAGCACTACATTTACACAAAAAGCTGTAATGACTGCCCAAATGCAAAGAATGTCTTAAGGGAAGTATCGGTAAAGTGCTACGGGAATCCAGAGGGAAAAAGGATCATCTAAGATTGGGGAACTCTATACCTTTAACACTGAAAAATGCTGGTTCTACGCAGTTTTCATGGAGTGGAGGGGACGACATAAGAAAGAAAAGAGAAAAATCATAGGCCTGTATGAGAATCAGTAAATGTGTCCGCCTGGAGGAAATGGTACAAGGAAGAGAGGGGCAGGTGGGACCGTGAGAAGATACATTTCTGAGAACTCTGTTCATTAAGCAACAGTCTTACTCAGGATGACTCCAAAAAATAAAGTCAATAGAAGTAAACAAAGCTCTTGGGCTTGTTTTGTCTTTTTTTTTTTAAATAAGAACTGGAAAGGTCAGAAGGTGAGAAATATGTATTTACTTCAGATATCAGAAGCCAGCAAATTTTATCAGGACTAAAAAAAAGTCCACATGCCCTGGCTGGTGTGGCTCAGTGGACTGAGTGCCAGCCTTTGAGGTGAAAGGTCACCAGTTAGATTCCAAGTCAGGGCACAGGCCTGAATTGTGTGCAGGTCACTAATTGAGGGTGTGTGAGAGGCGACCAATGGATATTTCTCTCGCACATTGATGTTTCTCTCTCACTCTCCCTCCCCTCCCCTCTATCTAGAAAGAAATAAATAAAATATTTAAATAAATAAATAAAAGGCAGCACGTTGAACGAATGTCGAGTGAGTCTTCAAAGCTCACATGTATCAAAGCTAACAGGACATGAGAGGAGCTTTTCAAAGTCACTTCTGAATATCTAAAGTTCTAAGTGAGATTCTTCTCAACGTCCAGTTCTTTGAGAGCCACGTAACAATACATGGCCTCTGTTTATAACCAAAGCCTACAGCTGCCATGAAATCCTTGTTTTATCTCTAAAAACTGCTAAGTGTTGAACATAATTCAGGAATGAAACTTTGCTCTAAGAACTAGGCACCTCAGCAGGAAGAATGGGATCTTGGACTTCAAAGGTACCTGTCCCAACCTTTGTATTCAGAACGCCACGGACACAATACTAGGCTTACAACTGCTGATCTTGGGAGGCCCCCTAGTGCTCACAAGGCAGACTTTAGAAGTTCAAACACCCACTTCAGAAAAACCTTTAACTATTAAATCAACTGCAGAATCAATCGGTAGCTGTGACTCTGAGCCAATTCCACCCAGGGAGTGCACTTTCAGCCACCAGCTGAGCATCCTGTCATTCAGCTCGGTTCCGACTCTGTATGTGGGAAGATAGCACCGGATTCCACAGGCGACACCCACACTGAGGACAGGTTATTATGACAAAAGGTGTTCCCACTGTTCTTATCGCTCAGAAAATTTCAAGGGCTTTGAGAGGCTGTGAGCCAGGAACCTTGAACAAAGACCAAATATATATGAGAAATGTATTCTGATCATCTGAATGACCAAATATATATTTCCTACAAATCACAGCACCACAGTAGCCCATTAAAAATATCTTTTCAGGGAAATAAATGATACAGATGAAACATAAAAGATCCTGTTCTAATTAATTCATCTTGAGTTATTTTGAGCCAACTTTCAGAAGACAAAGCCTAAAATGTCTAAGCAAGATTTAATAATAAAATTATTTTTCAAAATTATGGTCTCTGATGTTATCATTCCATTTCACTTTATTTCCTGATCCAGTTAAACTACTAATGTATCATCCATAACACTCAAGTGAGAGCTTTACATGGCAACATATTATGAGTAAGTCTTTTATAAGGAGAGTTCAGCACTTGTGTAATTTTACAAAATAAAATTCAAAAAGCCACCATCCATTATTTTCCACTAAAGTTGATTTATCTTCTGGAATCTAATAATTAGGTCTGTATCACTATAACACTGTCCCATTTATTATAATAATGTTCTTCAATGGTTTTCTTTTTTTTTTTTCTTAACCTTTTTACGACTGTGGCTTTAACTGAGGAGACACCATGGTATTCAGCAGGCAGCCGAGAAATGTGTTAAAATGGCTGCATGGTCACTTAAGCACCCACATCTGCAGTGAGATATCCTCTCTTGTTTATGTACGTAAGGGAACCCAACCCCAGACCACTAGTTTCCCCCTTTTCCCATGCCCGCTTCCATCATCAATGTTCCTGGCCAGACCCACAGAGTTTCTGTCCTCTTAGGAAGAAACCTTTCACCCTCCTCTACTCTCCCCTTCTTCCCTCTTCCTCAAAGTAGGAGAGAGAGACTCACCTAGTTGGTAAGACTGGGGAGAGCGGCACAAAGCATGGCCAGCTCATCCCCTTCTCTTTGGGGATGCAGCCGAGTAATGATGGTCTCCCCTCCCCAACATGGCTAGCAGCCTGTCCTGTGGGGGTGAGGACGGCAAGCTGCCCAGCTGTCTGCCTGGGAGCGAGCGGGTGAATGCGTTTAGTTAGCACAGTAGGAGAACAGCATTTAGTCACATTCTCTAACACCAGCCATAAGCTAATGCTTCAATCCCTGACTTCAGCATCAATTTCTACACTGTGTAATAATTTAGAGGAGAAAAGTATGACCAATGATCACCCAAGAATATACATTAGAGCAGATTATACCATTAGTAACTTAACTCTCATTTTCTGTGCTTTTATTGATGAGGAGAGAAAGGAATTGAGGATTATCCTGCATAGACTTGAATTTATATCATTCCTTGTGCATTCCACAGCAACAAAAAAACACGAGACTTATGGGGACAAGGTCTGACATGTGGGCCATTGATCATTTATTGTCCTTATTTCAAGTGGAAATGTACAACCTTCTAAACGAGAAAAATATTCCTCAAACGTGTGCATCAAATCTTATTGGATACTGTTTGGAGCTCAGAGGGAGTGAGTCTGAGTGAGTCTGTGGGTTGGTTCTTTAGGAGGAACTGCTTGGGGCTCCAGAAGTTTCTTCCACCAATTCAATCCTCACTGGTTTTTGCAGCCAGAAGTTGTGGGGACTTATCTTTCTGAGCTGGGGGGCCTGGTGTGGGACTCCTCGCTCCCAAGATACCCCTCCTGACTTTTTAGCCACGTGGGTGTTGGACCAGCCTGTTCTGCGTCTGTGGCCCTCCTACCAGTCTGGATGGATGTGGTTTCTTTAATTCCATAGTTGTCAGACTTCCATTCGGCTCAATTTCTGACATTCCTGAGTGAGGGGTGTTCTATGTTTTAGCTATAATTTTGATGTGGTGGTGTGAAGAAGTGAGCCATGTCTGCCTACACCGCCATCTTGACCGGAAGTCCCCGAATATTCTTATGTCACTCATTAAATGATTCGGGTAATTTTATATACTGTAGGAAGCCTCCCTTGATGTCTCCAAAAGTAGTAGATAATTTCTGCCTTCATTAAGTTAAAACCCTTTCTTTAGTTTGAAAACATTTATCTTCAACTCTTCTTCAAACCAGATGTACTTTAGATTTACTGTAAAATATACCATAAATCTGTATAGAATCCGTGAAAATATATAACGATATGTGAATAAATTCTTCTGGTTTGCCATATAAGCTATCTCTTTTTTCTTTGTATTACTGTGGGTTTCTATTACTGTGGGTTTTAGATGCCAAATTAAAAAAAATTTGGCATCTAAAAAAAAATGAACTGCAACCAACTGTTAGTGCTAAATCAGTTCTCACAAATCATAGTCATTTACATGATAGTAGTCCCAGAGTCTAAATCTGTAGTAGAACGATTCACTAGGTTCTATAAATACTCTATAACTATCATCAGGAATCATATCTATAAGATGACTCCAACATAACATAATGTTCAGGTTAATGTTCATGGTGATTTTTTCCCCTCTTGTTAATTGCCACGCTGGTTTCTGATTGGGGGAAAGTCACTAAGTTTCGAGCCTTGCCATAACCTTATGTCCCGGACACAAGGGACAATGCACGTATCAGAACACTGGGTGGACTCCTTGCTGGCTACACATTTAGAGGAAAGGGCAGAAGTCACAGAACATGACAGACCATGTTCAACCTTCCTACCAGTAGTGGGGAACATACATAACCTGTATGATCCTCAGTTTTCTCACCTGGAATTAGAGATGATAAATCTTACAGAGTTTTAAACTCCGTAAGAACAAAATATATGAGAACCATAACACATAGAAGGTATACAATGAATGGCCGTTATTGTCCTAATCAGTCTCAGCTGCAGCTCTAATTCTGATGAAGGCCACCACAGATTCATGGCATTGTTATAATAATATTTATTTAAAGAGACCCAAGAACATAGTACGTTTCATTTCAAGTCAACTTACCAAGGCAGGAGTACAAACCCTGACTTATCCAAGCTAATATGGCAAGTGTTATAAGGTCGCCAAAACTGGCGGCAATGGGTGTAGCAACATTATCGGGATTGATGCCAGTCTTCTTTGAACCAACGATCACACCAACCATTATTATCCCTGGAAGAAAGGATGCTGTTACTTTCATCCTATAATTTTAAAGACAACCAATCCCCCTAAACACTGAAGTGTACAGGCTGGACAAACAGCATTTCAGTTGCAATGACACTGCTTAGACAAGCTGACAACAGCAAACAAAACATGTGACACCAGTGCTCTGGCCAAATGCCTTTCGACAAAACCCCAGTGGGGACTTCTCAGACAAAAGATTCAAGAAGTTCAATACTGCATTTAGACACCTGAAAACTACTGTAAAATAACATAAATGCTGAAGTTTCAGGTTTAGTGACATGCAACGTGTATGTCTTAGATGTAATGTACTTGGGTGCATCAAACCCAAAGATTTCATTTTAACCTTCAAATAAAGCATGAAAATGTCAAAGAAAGGTAAGTCATATTTATATGCACTGCCGTCAGGAAAAACACCAATAAAAACAGATTTATGTAATGTCATGGTGGCCAGCAATGCTTGCTCCATTTTATTATGGAGAGTATTAAAATACTAAGAGGAGGGGGGTAATTAAATTTTGAACAGGAGGCCAGAAGTTGTCTTTGTAAAAAAGAGTCCCTCGACCCAAAGTTTTTGTCTAGGAACCTACGGCTGAAGACAAAGACCAAAATGGGACTCTGCACTTACACTTCTAAATCCCTACCTTCCTTGGTCACGGAAGTGGGAAGAAAATCATAACATTTATATCTATACCTAACTGCATATATTTTCTCATGCCAACTGTCATTAAAAGCATGCAGAGGAGAGACCATTTAAGATTGGTTTTACTTGTGTGCCAGTCAAAGATCAATGTGGAAGCCTAATATGGCTACAATAACACAGGACATCATAGCACTTGTAAATTGGGAATGACTCTACATGATTTTCTTCTAGCAAACCAGTGGAGTTTGTATTAATAAATATTTAAAAATGATACTCCAACTGAAAATGTCTAATATAGTTAATTTTTTAAAAACTGGCTCTTTGAAATTCGATAGCCAACAATCTGCTATATCAAGCTTATGGTTATATTTGTATTGCCAGAGAGATCCTGAAGAGTTTTCTCTGAAATCTGAAACTTTATCTACAGAGCCCTGACTGGTGTGGCTCAGTTGGTTGGGCAGTGGCCCACAAAGCAAAAGGTTGTCAGTTGGATTCCTGCTCAGGGCACACACCTGGGTTGCGGGCCAGTGGCTAGTTGGGGCACCTGCAAGAGGCAACCAATCAGTGTTTCTCTCTCTCTTTCTCCCTCCCTTCCTCTCTCTCTAAAAAAAAATAAGTAAACCTTGAGGTTTTACAAAGTTGAGGAAAAATAAAAAACTTGTACAGCGAGATTGCTTTCAGAACTCAGAAGTCGAAGAATCCTTGTTGCTGAACTGACAAGCCAGTAGACCCCCAGCATGATTTCCCGAAAGCAGTTTCCCGGTCAGAAACCATCTGCTGTGTGAGCTGTTTGCCGGACCTTGTTTGGGAGCTGTCCCAGGGCCCCTGAGGCCAGAAGACAACCCAGAAAGCCTGTTCTGCACTAAGGTTTACATATAATAAGTATAACTATTCCTGAAATAAGATCTTTTAAAAGTCTGTACATAACTTTTTGATGTTCTTTATTACAGACATGCATCATTTAAATAAAACCAGGCCCAAGCTGGGGAAATAAAAGACTGTAGGTGCAGACGTTTGTGCAACGCACTCACCCTGCAGCAGGGATGCGATGAAGGCAGTGGCTACGCTGCTGGAGCACAGAAGTATGGAATGATCAAGGTGGTACTTGCCCTCTGGAATCCAGCCCAGGATAACTGCCGCCACAGCCGCTAGAAACCCAACTACGGTTGCTTGAACCTAAAAAAGATTTTTCATAAAATCCAACAGAATTATTCATCTCAAAAACACATTTTTGTAAAATCTGCTTCTATAAATATGCATGTAAGAAGTCAGAGAAACTATTGCATATGGTAATTGAGCTGTCTTACCTTTTAGAGAAGCTACTCTACAGGGTCCAGCAGAAGTAACGCCTGCCTGAGTGTGGTTGGTAGGGTGATAATACGGGTATAATAATTCACAGTTTTAATTTGAACATTTCACCTAAAATGTCATCTGCAGTGCTTGAGTGTGATTTGTTATATCACAGAATTACATGCTTATGACTTTGTAATACAAGAATTTGTAATAAAAAGGGGGTGTCATTTTTGCCTGGCCCTGTATTTTTGGTTTTAACATTCCCTAAGGCAGTGGGTTCTCAAGACGCACTGATCTGGTGGCCATGGGTATGGAACAGGGTCCAGGAACCTACTCTTTAACAAGCAGCGACTTTGATGGTGCAGTCCACAGACCATCTCAGAACAGCACCCCACCCACAAAATTGAAGTCTGACGCTAGAGGCAGTGTTGGCAGGGGAACGGATTGTATTACCCAATGATAAGAGTCTGACTCCTGAATATAGCACTTAATCTCGTGGCAAATTATTCAAATTCATTCCTTCAACAATTATTAACTTAGCATCTCTTATGTATCAGGCACTCTGCTTGGTGTTAGGCTACAACTGTGGTCAAAATAGCTTCAGTCCTTGCTCTCAAAGAGCTCTTGATCCGTGGGAGAGATAGACATTAAACCTTAAATATAATCACAATCATGATTAATGGTATAAAAAAGTTTAGCTTCTAATCTGAAAAAGTGACAATGACAACACTGAATTTAAAAGGGTTATTTTGAGATGTAAATGCATTACATTAATACATAAAATGATTTCCACAGTGGTGGCATAAAGCAATACTAAAAAAAAAACCCCAAACCCAGCAACTAAGAAAGTAACACTGGCTGGGCACTCTTAGACTTGTATTAGTAGAATGTCAAAGTAAAAGAAAACCTTAAGGTCACTTGGTTCAATTTCCAATCAAGGCACATGCCTGGGTTGCTGGTCAGGTGCCCAGGAGGGGGCGCATGAGAGGCAACCACACATTGGTGTTTGTCTCCCTCTTTTTCTCTCTCCCTTTCCTCTCTAAAATTAAATAAATAAAAATCTTCTTTTTTTTAAAGAAAAAATCCTTAAGGAATCATCTGGTTTACTGATTCTTAACTGTCTTTGTGTCATGGACTCCTTTGACAATCTGACAAAAATTTTACAGAGATACAGTATTTTGAGTAGGAGTTCTGGGTGCTCACAGGCTTTCCAAAGCTAAGCCATGTACTGGAATCCAGGACTCTGGGTTAAAAAAAAAAACAAAAACTAATCCTGCCACACAGTGAACTGACAGAGGAGCCAGAAGAGCCAGGGCCAGCGAGTCCAGACAGCCTGGATTCCGGCCCCACGATCTTCCGTCAGCTCCTGGTGATCCAGCCACAGGTTCAGAGCTCAGATGCAAGCCGTCAGCATCGCTCTGGCTGTGCCCGCTGCCAAACTAAGTCAGCATTTTCACACTGGTGAGTAAATAATGTAACCGGTAAAAGCAGTAAAATCAATGACTAATGTAAATTCTACACTGTGATTCCAAGGTTTTTCTTGGAAATAACATACAGAGCTAGAGAGCCTGTGGCAGACATGCTGGCAAATGCACATATGAATGTAAGTGAAAACGGAAGCACACAGCTGAGACGAGGAAGTCCTAGTCCGTAAACCTGCAAAAGTAGTGCCTGATTGTACCCAAGAGAAGAGCTAAGTCTGTGTTCAAGGAGTGGCTGGGGGTGAATGGGGAACAGAGCCCTAACTAGATTGAGCGCAGGGCACCCAGTCACGTAAGGGTTCTCCAGTGGGAGTGGGAACTTTGCTTCATTTGACAATTTACACACTGGTCAAGGTGGCCACCCTGAACCACGGCTAAGAAACCTAGAAGAGGTCATCTGCTTGGGTTCACTCTGAATATGATTCTCAGAAAGCACACGTCCCGGCTCCTGAGTGCCTGCTCTGTGCTTCCCACCCTTCCTGCCTCTACCCTCCGTAGCCAGTCAGTCAGAGAATGTTTTTCTAGCCCATCCCCAGCCCTTCCCCATGCTCCTCCTTCACAGGCTTTAGCAGATAAAGCCTCAGACACAGCACAGCCAGCACCCCAGCCTGGCCTTCTTTTCTTCTCCCTTCTATTCTCTCCACAGCTTCCTGGGCTCCGACCAGTAGCTGCCTCGCTGGCTTCCCTGTTTGTCATACACTCTTGGTGGAGTGAGACAGACAGACACACACAGACTTCAGGACACGGCATCTAGGACCGGTGAGTCCCCAGCCACCTCTGGCTCCCATCCTGACCAACAGTTGCAGGGAGAGAGGAAGACAAGGGAAAGTCTCAGACTAAGAGTGGAAGCAAAGATTAAAAGCTGAGATGGGAATTATTGGAATGATTTGATGGCTACAACTCATACTACTTGGTAAGAGTTCAGAATATTTACAAAATTAAATTAAAGTAAAACTATAATTTCAAATTCTACACATAGATTACATTACAGAAGTCTACTGGTTGGTGTATGTTTTGATTATCATCCCTGCCCAGATCCCTACAGTTTCAAGCTGACAAGGATCATGGACATCTCTAATGCAATACTGCACCCTAAAAGAAGAAAAGCAAGTCCAGAAAGGTTAAGGAAGTTAACAAAGGTTATATAGCTGGGGAAAGTCAGAGCTGAGATTAAAGATTAGATACCACATTTCATTATCTCTAACCTTTTGACTTCAGTAGTAGTTTCATGGACATTTTTTAAAAAGTCTACATTCCAAAATTTCCCTTATTTCCTCGCCTTTGAAATGCAATATAATAAATTACTCTTCTGCAACCATGATGTTCTCAACATGAAATCCTAGTTGACCTAACATTAAAATAATTAAGCATTCCTGGAGAGTGTGGCTCAGTTGGTTGGAGCGTTGTCCCGTAAACTGAAATGTTGCCAGTTTAATTCCCCGTCAGGGCAAATACCCAGGGTGTGTGGGTTCAATTCCTAGTTGGTGGGGGGAGGGCGTATGAGAGGCAACCAATCCATGATTCTCTCTCACATCGATGTTTCTCTCTCTAAAAGCAATGAAATAATGTCCTCAGGTAAGGATTTAAGAAAAAAAAAGTAAGCATTTCCTAAGCTCACACTTGCTAGAACGCTGGAGTTACTTGGGGGGGGGGGGAAGTGCCTTCCTGTGTCCTGGAGATGCAAGAAGGTGGCGGGAAAAGAAGAGACAGTCACCTGAAATGGGAAAGAACTGTAGATAATTTATATGTAAATTCGAGTGTACATAATGGACAACTGAATGTGTTCATGTACATTAACATTAGTATTATTGACAAATTAAGGAAAACTCAGCTTAATCAAACACCTGACCACAACATATAAAAAAAGAGTTAAGGATTCTCGGGAGCATTTGAGATCTTGCTCTTAGGCATATATCCTCATTTTGACTGAAATAAACTCTTATAAGATCCCCCCAAAAATAGTCAATAAAAATTAAAACTGAAAGAGAGCAAAGTTTAATTAAATAAGAGGATTTGTATAAAACATCAAAGTCGAAAAATAGTACCTAAACCACGAAATGCTAAATACTTATTTGTACAGATATTAACTCAACTTCTGGCTCTATTACACACTTACAGTAGAAAGTATTTTCTATACTATGTATGTGACATATTTTTCACATTTAGAAGAACACGATCAGTTTCTAGACAAAGACAACTTTCAAGTCATGGATGTTCGTGTACGCTACCCCTTTCTCATAGCACTAAATTATCATGGGCCCCCAGAAACACTCAAATGGCAGGCTTGACTAAAACGTACTCCATTCTACAGTTAGCACCCAGAGCTGTAAATCCAAGGTCTATAAACACACATGTGCATCACTTACTTGTTTTAAAGCCAAGTTGCCAATTATTAGATTCCACTTTTCGATGGGTGAATCCATCTTCCCGATATTTACCTGTTAAGGTGGAAATTTTTCATATATTACTGAATAATCTATATGTTCTCTATTCTGTTAAACAGTATGTGAAGTCTTAAAGCCAAAGATAATTCTTTAGTAAATCTGATAAACTCACATTGGACTTTGAATATAACTCTGAATTCACTACCAGTCTTCCATCTCACACACAGGTTGCCTATTTAAGTTTTTTGTGGGTTTTTTTTTTTTGCTTAATTACTAGCTCACAAGAATCAGTGGACTAGCTAGTACCACCTGCCTGCCTGCTAATGTTATTTTACAACTAATAGCATAAAGTGCATCCTAACATGTCAAATTTTATGTATTTAGGCCCAATATAAGTACATAATTTTGAGGTGTTAGCATCTAATTCCACATCGTGAAAGTACTGTAATTTGAAGAATTATTAACCAAAAACCCAGACCCAAACAAATAATTCATTTGTACATAGTTTATATTTGAGTCAGGACTAACCCTGTTAACAATAAAATGGTCACTCAGTCCAATGTGAATTTTGGTCACCTATGGCACTGTTGAAGTTTATACATCTTTCTGCTATGTGGAAGAATACTCTCCAAAAAAGATTACTGTTCACATATTAAATTGCACTGTAAGCCAAATCATACTTATCAACCACTTAGGATTCAAAAAATGTGTATCCAAATCTGACAAGTTTTCTAATGCAGTATTTTGGAAAACAATGAGCAACCATTATTAAAAATACTGCACTGAGACAGATTTCAATTCTCCATCATCTGCTCAGTCATGGAAGATAGGTGAATGGGTAAAGTGGAAAATATATAAAGGTTATTATTTGTGGGTAGTTTTAACCATGCCAACTGGAGTTTGGCTCACTGTCTTCAGACTATTAAGTTAAGTGCCACAACAACATCTCCTACATCAATCTAGAAAACAGATTCTGTTTTCTAAACTTACTCTGGACTGTAGTCTCAAAGTATCCAGCAAATACTAAGATTTCTCAGTGTTTTAGGACAATTACTCCTTCTGTCTTAATTTGTATATTTCTTTCCTAAGCCCGGAAATCTGAATTCTTGATGAAATTTGTGTTTGTAGCTCTACCAACTTGGATTTTTGCTCAGATGAGTAATAAGGGACAAGCAGCATTCAAAGAGCGAAACTATCTCGGGTGTCATGTTCAAGAAATAGGTATGAGACACTGGGATCTACCAGACGTTGAAAGAAACTAAAAAAGACACAAAGAAATGGAAAGATGTTCCTTGCTTCTGGATTGGGAGAATTAACATTGTTAAAATGTCCATATTACCTAAAGCAATCTGTAGATTTAATGCAATCCCTATCAAAACACTTCAACAAAGTTATTTTTTTTAAAGTGACAAGATAAAATCATACAGCAGTAACAGCTTTTAAAAGTAACAAGCAATTATATTCCTACCACCTAGCTTGGTCAAATACTAAAATGTGACTATATTTAGCACATCAGTAAATCATATACATGTTTAAAATCACTTTAATGTCCAAGGTATCTGAGGCTCTATTTATATTTTCTCAGTATTTTTTTCCTCTCCATTCTTCATATCATTCACTCGATCACTTCAATATCATCAAACTTATAAATCCTCTCTTCCGCTATCACCAATACAATACATTTGATTCTTTTTTACAGTATCCATTATTCTTAAGATTTGCCATCTGTTCACTCATTAAGACCCATGTTTGTTTAATTCTTTGAACATTTTTTCCTTTAGTTCTTTGAACATATTTATACTAGTAGCTTTGAAGGATGTTGTTAAATCCAACCTCTGGGCCCATTTCCAGTCACTTTCCAATGAGCAAATAGGAATCACACTTTTCCTGACTATAAATCAATCACACCTCTGTGTTTCTTTCCACATGCAGTGACTTTCTGGCTGAAAACTGGACAGCGTAATAACGTGCCCGGAGACTGGAAATGTTGCATTGTTCTGAGGATTACTGGCTTTCCCTTGAAATGGGCGGTTAATTTTCACAGACTCATTATTACAGGCCCATGGTTCTCCCTCCGTGGGTGGCAGCCGCTCCGCTCTTTCAGCCCCCAAGTCCTGCTTTCAGCCTAGCCCTTTGGGGGTCTCCTGGGAACCTGTGTAGCTGAACAGCCAGCCAAACACTTGGGCAGAATTTCTACTCAGGCTCTGGGGCTCTTCTCTCCGGCTCTCTTGCTGCTGGGATTTTCCCCAAATTTCCACCTGCTGTCAGGTGGAAATTCAAACCGATAAAACTTCAACTTTATGCCACTATAGCTATGCATAAGTCACAGAGGGCACGCTGTCAAAAAAGCAAAAACTCACACATTTTAGCTAGTATAATTGTCTTTAAAGTACAGGCTCCTCTCACATTTCTGCCTTTATTTTATTAATTTTTGACTCTCTTACCTCAAGCTGGTAAGACTGTAGGGTTTTTGCCACATGAGATCCAGGTTTTGGGGAATTCCCTCAAATAAACAAAAAAAAAGCCTACACTTTGCAAGATCTTTATTTTCCTCTCCTGCCAAAAAGCCTTTTGGATTGGGTTCTACCTGGGTGATCCACCAGTTTTTAAAACATAATGCATGTATAGATCATTGGGGAAAAAAGACACATGAAACGCATGTCTGTACAATGATTAACTCTGAAAACCTTGGTGAGACTACAGAACAGCTTTGTTCTAGGACAAAAGCTAAAAGTGTGCTGGACACACGTTCCCTGTGGATGCTTAATGGCCAAGTGTTCAAATCAATATTCAGTGGCGCCAAATGTGACCATTACATAATGAATTCCTGGGATACTAAAAAAAAATAAGAAATTTAAGCAAATTTAAAATGGTATTACCATTTTATTATTAAATTTTCTAGAAATAGTATTTGTAAAATAGGGAATGCTTCACAAATTGGCAGTCATCCTTGCTCCGGGAGCTATGCTAATCTTCTCTGTATTGTTCCAATTTTAGTGTATGCGCCGCTGAAGAGAGCACTAGAAATAATTTCTTAACAGTGACAGCTGCTAGACTGATCCTGTGGTCACCAGACTTCACGTTTTTAACGCTGTAGAGATGCCCACTTTCAAATGAGAGAACCAAGACTGTCTGTGACTGGCTTTGCCAATCTACTGCTGAGAATGGTGGTGTTGCCAAATTACTAGACTTTCTCTCCACTCATGTAATATTTGACGAGATAAAAACTTACTTCTTTACTTCTTAGGTTTGAAGGTTTGGTTGATAGCAATGACCCAGTTTCACCAAAATCCTTTCATAAACTAGATCTGTGCACACTGCTTCCTGGTGATGCATTTCAAATATTTTCAGATGAGCCTAAGCTTGTCACCCTTGTTTTATTTTAATATTTTTACATGTACTCACTGCTTCACATGATCACTTGAGAAGAATTTGTCTTTTAAATCTGGAATCTAAACGTGTAACAATGGAGCGATGTCACTGGCTTCCAAGACACCAATCAGTAATACCCTCTGATGGCTTAATTAATTTTTGGCTGACATGCAATGGGCAGATGGCTCATGGAAGTGAACCTGACTGTACGTGGCTTTAACCATACATACTTTGAGGTGGGGAAAACTTACTGCAGTGGATAGTCTAGATGCCAATGTCATTTCCAAGTTCCCTTTGAGACCAAGTAGTGCAGGGACTAAAATGAAAACTTCTGTTACTTTTTTGAACACCTCCCAGTGCTGTAAGAAAAAAAAAAAAGAAGAACTTTCTGACACTCTTTTCATTTGCACCTTGATTTTGAACTTCCCAGCTTCCAGAACCTTGAGAATAAATGTCTGTTGTTTAAACCACCCACTGCTAGAGATACTTCTAGCGACGTAAGAGTTAAAATAAAACATGAAAACTTACCAAAACTAACACAAAAAGAAATAGAAAATTTGATGAGCCCTGTGACTTTTAAAGGAACTCAAACTGGGCCCTGGCTGGTGCAGGTCAGTGGACTGACTGCTGGTCTGGTCACCAGTTTGACTCCCAGTCAGGGCACATGGCCTGGGGTGCAGGCCAGGTTCCTAGTGGGGGCACGAGAAAAGCAACAGACTGATGTATCTCTCACACATTGATGTTTCTCTCCCTTTCTCTTGCCCTCCCTTCCCCTCTCTCTAAAAATAAATAGATAAAATATTTAAAGAAATGCAAGCTGTAATTTAAAATATTCCCACAAAGAAAACTGCAGGCCCAGGTGCATTCATCAGGAAATTATACTAAGTACTTAAGAAAGAAATAATGACAGTTACATAAAACTTTTAAAAGAGTAGGAGGTAAACAGAGAACATTTTCAAATTTATCTAAGAGACTAGCTCTACCTTAATATGAAATCTGTCAATGATATTATGAGGACAATTATAGGTTAATCTTATATATGAATATAAATGCAAGAATTCTAAACAAAATATTAAAATCAGAATTTTATACAAACAACAACAAATCATGACCAGGTTACATTTATCTCAGAAATATAAGGGTGGTTTAATCAATATAAGTCAACATAGCAAGAAATAAAGTAGAAAATAAACATAAGAAAAAGTATTTGAGCCCTGGCTGGTGTAGCTCGGTTGATTGAGCACGGGCCTGTGAAGCTAAGGGTTGCCTGTCGATTCCCAGTCAGGGCACATGCCTGGGTTGCAGGCGAGGTCCCCAGTAGGGGCCACAGGAGAGGCAACCACACATTGATATTTCTCTACCATGTTTTCTCCTTCTGTCCCCTCTCTCTGAAAGTAAATAAATAAGTAAAATACTTTTTAAAAAAGTATTTGATAAAATTCAACCTCTAGTCATGATTTTACAAAAAGAAACCTTAGCAAACTAAAAAACAATCTTCCTTAATTTGATAAAGAATATTACAAAAATCGACAGCCAACCCCCTGCTTCATGACCAACTACTGAAAGCTTATACTTTGAGATCTGGAATAAGGCAAGGTTTCCTGCTCTTACCACTTCTTCTCTATTGTATAATACTTTGGAAGTCCTAGCCAGCACAGAATGACAAGGAAAAAAGTTAAAATGTATAAGATTGAGAAAGAAATAAAACTATCATTACTCATAGGTAATATGATTTTGATGAAGGAATTCCAAAGAATTTACAGAAAAATTATTAAAACTACTAAATGACTTTAGCAACTTGCTGGATACCAGGTCAACACGCCCACTCTAAAGTCCTCAGGCTCAGAGGTACGTATTAAAATTCACAAAATCACAAAAGGGGCTTTTTCCAATTATACGTGTGCTGTTCTCTCAAATAGCACAGTATCAAGAAAATAAGTAAATATTACACCAGAGAAAAGTATTTACATGATGAGCTATGTAAATATTCTGCCTAACAATCCAGGCTGTAACGTATTATTTCTATGCATGATACCACTCCATAGCTAACTGTTTAGTGCTCCTTCACAATAATTGATACGTCAAAAAAAAGGTCTACCAGATTAGCTTATTGATTTTAGCACCTGTGATACTACTGTAGGAACTTGAAAAGTTATATTTCAAGTGAACAGGTAGGTATGGGCCCCCTTGAATACAGTTTATTCAAAATTTCAATATACTTCTTTTAAAAAAGATTTTATTTTTATGTATTTTTAGAGAGAGTCAAATGGAGGGAGAAAGAAAAGAAGAGAAACATCAATCGGTTACCTCTCACAAGCCCCCAACTGGGGACCCGACCCATAACATGCCCTGACTGGAAATCAAATCAGCGACCTTTCAATTTTCAGGTTGGCGCTCAGTCCACTGAGCCACACCAGCCAGGGCTCAACATACTTCTTAACACAGTTCTCTACCTGTTCTTTCTCCATCTGATGGTGAAAAAATTAAGTTTCTACTTGTGTAAGTTTTCCATTTAGATAACAATGTTAACTGTGGAAAGCATCTTAGAGTCACAGAGCACCTGACACTTCTTTTAGGGAGCAGACAACGGAAGACACGAGCGCATTGCAGGACAATGCGTCTAAGCCTTTCCCAGAGCCAGTCTTTCTCTGACTGGTGTGTAAAAGCTGATAACGACAGAATGACACAGTTCGACAATGTACTACTTTAGAAAAATATTTATATATAATAGGTCATTTTGTTACTATACTACATTAAGAACTGTAAGTCGGTAAGTAGCATATACAAGGTCTGTCCAGAAAAAGTCCAGAAATTATTAAATAATGAGAACAATGTGTGCAACATTGATAAAACCTGGCAGCGAAGGAGAGAGGACTGGCACACACATGCGTGATGACAACTTCACTGTACTAGTCAGTGGGGGCGGTAGATGCCATTGGGTGACTGTGTGTGGCTGGGTGGCTGTCACATTCAAAATGACTGAGCAAGTAGAACAACAAATGTTCATCCAGCTTTGCATTAAGCTTTAATACTCCTCCATGGAAACTATTCGAAAGATTCGAAGGCTGCAGCTGTGGACAACTGGTGACTAGCAGCTTCATCACAACAATGTGCCCACTCACGCATCACTGTCTCATGTAGAGTTTTTTGGTGAAACATCAAACACCCAGGTAACTGAGACCCCCTATCACCTAGATTTGGTGCCCTGCAACTTCTGGCTTTTCTCAAAACTGAAATCACCTTGAAAGGAAAGAGATTTCAGACCACTGATGAGATTTAGCAAAATAGGATGGGACAGCTGATGGCCACTGGGAGAACCGTATGAGGTTCCAAGGTGGACTGAGGTTTGAAGAGGACTGAGGTTTCACTGTCTTATACACACCATTTCTTGTATCTTGTATCTTCTTCAATAAATGTCTCTATTTTTCACAGCACATGGCTGGATACCTTCTACACAGACCTCATACATTTTAAAAATGGATAAAAGACAGAAAAAATAATTCATATATATTAACAGAAAAAATAAAAAGAGCCAATGAAAAATGTTAAATGATAATTTAAGAATGTTAATGAAAATGTGATAACATTTTCCTATCAATCGTCAAAAACAAAAAACAAGACAATCCAATGTTGATAAAGGCATTGGAAAATAAAAGTACTTATTGGTACAAACTACTCGAAAAACAATTGAATAGGACCTATTAAATTTGAAACACATATACCTACCCTAAGGCCTAGCAATTTAAAAAAAAACCATTTTATGAAACATTAGCATAATATTATGAAAATATATTTATAAGGACATTTATTAAAGCATCAGCATGGGGAAATGAATAAGTAAACTTTGGCATATACATTCAATGAAATACCAGGCATTCATTTTAAAATGCAGAATATCTTTATTACTAATTTGAAAAGATGTTCAAGGTGTATTATTGAGCGATGAACATCAGATACAGAAAAATATATATAGCATTTCATTTTTATTTTTGAAAAACAAAAGCTCTGCACAAATGTACATACGTCTGCATAGAAAAGCCGGTGTGTGTACCCAACAAACTCATAACAATGGTAACCTGTGGAGGAAGCGTTTGGTATGAGGAACAGGGAAGACACTTTGTCTTTTATTTAACACTCTGCATTGTGTGAACCCATTTTGGGGTAACTTCATCATCGCAGTACTTTATGAAGACATACTTTACGGTCTGAATGAGACTATTCTTTTAAACCTGCTAATGGAAAACAAACAGGAAAAGCCCCTACAAAGAGCAAATTCCTTACCAGAGTCGACATCAGTTCATTTTACTAAGTAATAATAACACAAATCTAAAGTAAATGTTTGAGATGAGCCGCCCACATAAGGAACTTCAAATAACGAAAAGAATGAAGTTACAGATGGAAACCTACCTGGACCACATCCAAAACCATGCCAGCAGAAACTGTTCCAAAACCAGCCAGCAGAAATGGCACAAGGATCTGCAGGGCCATCACGCCGCTGGACTCCTTCGGGGCCTTTTGGCTGGCCTCCACGATGATGTCCTCGTCCCCGTCACTCGACACATCTTCAGCCTGTAACATGGCAGAAGTTTCTGAGGCCTCCTCCCCGTCGCAGTAGTTGTAGTTGGCGTAGTCGTCGTACGTCTGGCCGCCGCCCGAGGGCGGGTGCCCACTGTGGCCATGGAAGTTCTGCTCTGAGAAGCTGTGATACTCCATGTGTTGCTCGGACCTCGTGCTGAAAGTCTGCACTGCCGTAGATGGTCCATCCTGCCAAATGCCGTTTGCTTTCTTGTGCCTGTCGTCCTGGTTTTTCTGGTAAATTACTGGAACCATTCTCAACAGAGAGTTTAAAAACTTATCGGACTGCACTGGGTCTAAGCTTAAAGTCCAGCCGACAAAGCCTCCTCCGCTGCTCGGACCACCGCTCGTTTGATTAGCAACGGACCTTCCTTTGCTATTAGTCATATTGTCATCGCAGAAGACCCTGCACTCCTCAGATCGCACGCTTCAGGAGCTGCGGCCAGGGAATCGGAGTCACGCGAATGCTGGTTTCAATTCAGATGCTAAATTCATTTTGTCGAAAATAACGTTTCCAGTAATAAAGGATGTTTAGAAGGTCCCCACGGGGATTGGATCTGGAAAGGAAAAAATAATTTAAAAAATCAGATACACCATCTCGACTCTTCCGATTTTCACAGTCGAAGACAAAAAACACTGTGTTCTTAACCCTCAGGTACTGACAATGCACCTCACGGGCGTCACACAGAAACCGCGTGCGCCATGCCGGTGTGCCACACGGCTCTGGACACAGAAATACAGTGCAGAGCGATGTTTGGTGCTCAGTCTGGGTCATGTTCCTCTTATCTTCGCATATTTTATGTAATTAATACCTATGTAAAGCCTCCGACTGTCCCAGAAGTTCAACACTAAACAAATTTGCTAAAGGAATAGCCTCCATTTCCATGGAGAAGTCTCAGAATCACACTGCCACAGCCTTTTCCGTACGTCAGTACACAATAAAGGGTACAGCGCATGATGTTATAGTTTAAGCACATTAAAAAATAAACCATGTTATGCTATTTATACCTTAATATACAGTTTCTTACTCAGTTATGAAGAGATAATAATAATGTCTACCGTAAAAACGCTTGTTAAATATCTTGACCATTATACATACGGTGCATTTATTTCCCATAAATTAGATCGGAGTCATATTTGTAGCTCTGACAGACGAAAAGTTCATTATAATTAATTTAGGACTATAATCCTTCTGTTATCTAGGAAAAGGAATTCCAAATATTCATTTAATCCTGTACTTTGCAAACCAGCCAAAAGAAAGCTTATAATGTACTTATTCCTGAATACATTTCTCAAAGTCCGCTCTGACCCACGATTCCAGAGCAGGCCCCTGGCCAGTGACCAGATTCTCTCCAAAGACCTTGGACTAAGAGACACAGACACATGCACACTGCAGTTCCAGAGTGATGGGCACTGAAGCTGCAAGGTCATGCCCCGCCTGCCCAGGGAGACGGCCTGTTTGAACAGCTGCTGCCACAGCTGCCAATGCTTTCAAAGCTATTTATCATGAGGGTGCTGAAGGCCTCAGGTGTTTCTCAGGAACCTGGCAATGAGGTGATAAGGGACACTTCGCCCCACTGCCTGCTGCCCACCCACCAAGCTAGGCTAAGAACCGTTGCTGCCAGAATGCTGCTTCTAGTGAAAATCATTATACTCTGCGATATTGGTGTGCAACGCCTTAGGATGTCCATCTCTTCTCCTTAAATGGGAAACTCAGTATCAGGAATGGCAGACAGAAAAAGAAAAGGGGCCAGGTGGGGGACAAGTGGGTGCTAGGGTGTGGCTCATCTATGTCATCACTCACTCATTTTCCTTCTCGTAATTATGGAGCCGTCTGGACCCTAAAATACAGATCCCAGGACCCCATTCCTACTGACTCAGACTAGCTATGTCTGGGGCCTGTAAATGTCTTCTTTTAAGCTCCCCAAGTGATGTCAGTGGAGACTTCTTATGGACCTACGCTGAGTCGAGTGAGTAGAGTAAGTACCAGATGCCAACTGCGGGCACCTGCAGAGTAAGTCAGTGATCAAAGAAAATCAGGTGAATGGAAACATCACCCAGAGTGAAGCGGAGAAGAAGCTACGCAGTCCCAGAAGAGAGACAAACAAGGCTGGCAGAGCTGTCTGAGCGCCGTCTATGCAACTGGAGGCTCGGCTGTAGGTCTGCAACCTAGGAGATTCCCAGCAGCCCAAAATGAGTCAGACGGAGATTCTTTTCCTTCCACCCACGCACCTCTTTTTAAATCATGAGCACTTCACTGCCTCAAAGATATCTTTACTCAAACAAAATATAAAACGAACTTCAAAGAGACGGAGCTCTCAGACAATTCTATTCCACCCAAGGGCAAGTAATGGAGATAAAGGCAGTTTCTTCTTCTCGAAGCAAAATTATCAGGTTGAGCAAAACGGAAACACAGAAAGATGTAGACAAACCAGAAAGAAGGATGACAGTGCCTGTATCCTATGACTCGGTCACCCTAAAATCCAGAAAGCTGGAACTGCATTCTCGGGATGCTTGACCAACAGAAAAACAGAAGGTAGGGAAAGAAAGTCGACAGGGGAATTTCCCAAGACCAGTCACCTCTCTGAGAAGATACGCAGGACGTGGCTGAGCACAGTCTACGCTGAGCTGGCCAGTGGGGTCCAGAAGCAGAGGCACAGCCAAGTCTTATTTTTGCTCCTGGTATTCTGACTTCAGTATAAACTATTCAGAAGGCTGGGTGGAGGACAGATACTGAACCAGGGCCACTGTGCACAGAGACCACACAGAGCCTTTCTGTAAATCTACAGAGCACCTCCTGGAAAAGGGAAGATCATGAGAGGAGCCACGGGTTGCATTTCAGCCTCACTCCATCCTCTCTGCCAAGCACCCTCACGCACTGCAGAACATGCGTGATCTAACACAGCAGACTGGGCTGCTGGGTGAAATATTAAACCGTGCTTAAAGAACATAAAGCACAAATGGTGGCTATGTATTCTTGTCGTTTGCTCAGCCTCCTCCCCCATTTTTTTAGCTAATGGTAGCTCCACTTCCTTGTGGTGTGAAACCATCCTTCCTCTAAGCCACGAGGTGCTGGCAGGTCTATCAGCCACAGCTCCCTTGCCCTCCAGACCACGTAATTAACGACAGGTGGCTTCAGTGGGATCCGAGTCCTCCCCTGGAATTCACATATTTGTTGGCTTACTATTTCCTGAGTGCCCGCTAGGTTACACATCAACAAAGCAGGCACCGTTCCTGCTTCTTATGGGGGGAAAAAACAATCAGGTGACCAAAGGAATGAGACAAGTTGTGAGAGAGGCCGTGAAGGAGAGAGTTAGCAAAGAATGAATCACTCACAGGGCTAAGTGTGGAAGGCCTCTGCGAGGGTTTTCTCGCTTCCCTTTGGAATAGCCTAATTCTGAAGCACTCACTGAAAAGGTTCCCTCTGCCACCACCACCGTCACCGCCACTTGGTGGAAGCCCATCTACTTTCCAAGGAGAACCAGAGCTAGGCCATGATGACAGAGTCTGGACAACGTAATTAAAACTTCTAGTTCATTTACTTAAAGCCCACTCCACCCGGGAGCTCCCCACTTACATGGGCCAACAAAACTCCCTCATTGATTAAGCCAGTCTGAGTTTCTGTCCTAACAGTATTTTTTTTAAGCAATGCACTTTGGTAGTAGAAATTTCCTTCCACGGGTGTGTACCATGGACCACTTAAAACTCACACAGTGATATACATCCATTATGTCTCAATATACTAGAAAAAAATTAAGTGTATACCCACATAATCTAAAAAGATCTTTAAAAATCTTTCTCTAAAAATTAAGCTTACATTTTAAACACCATAAAAAAAGTAGAAAGGACAAAAATCTCAGACTAAAGGCAGCCTTTCCACCGAACACATTTAAAGGTACGAAAGTTCCACGTCCCTAGGAAAGCTCTGTCCCGGGCCAGCACTGGCCACAGAGTTGTTGTGTCAGGGAACCGCTGGCTGAAATGAAAATACTACTACAGTGATGAATTCAATTTAGTCACGAACCCAAAAACCATTCCTACGAAAGCTCCTTATTGGTAAAAGTTAAGAAAAAGAAGCGCGAGGCCTGTGTGGCGAGGTACTGCAGCGGTGTCTTGGAGAACATCGGCCTGCTCTGCTGGAGGCGGGTCCTGCTCCTTGGCAAAGGCTGAATAGCAGCCCGTGAAAATCCAGCGGAGCTGTGAGTTAGCAGCGCCCAATCACGTCGGGTGACTAATCCAGCCTAAGACGGGAGTGGAATACTTTGTTATCTTCCCATAACAGTAAAAAGGTTTTCATGTAATCTATTACCAGTAATGATCACATTCAGTGAAAAAAAATCTCGAAACTTGTTGATCAGGTGGATGTTTTATATTTGCATGAATAAAGTTAGATCACAGTCCTCTGACACATATGTACACATGTACGGGACCAGTTTGGTTTGATCTGGCAAATGTGACTCAGCTCTGTATGGAAAACCTACAGACTCGAAGTGGTGGGCAGGAGCCAGACCTTCCAACCGGTTTTCCCGTGGGAATCAGGCCTAGAAAATGCATACAGACTGTTATGGCTTGCTCTTGCTAAAACTCCATCACCCTGGTCTAAAACAACAAATGTGTTGTCCATCTTCAAGGTAATATCCAAAGCCTGTGTGAATTTGCCCAAGGACAGAGCTAATCTGCTCATCGCCATCCCCCTCTGCATGTTATTTTCATTTCCTTGATTGTACCTAGAATGTAGACGATAATGTTCTATGTAATAGATAATAAATCATTCTCTGATGTAAGACCTGAGAAAAATAATAACAGCCTGTCTAGGCAAGGGTTGAGGCATTCTCCCCTTGAGAGAGTGGCCGAGGCACCCATAGGTGCTCTCCCCTTGACAGAGCAGCCGTGCCGTCCCCTTTTTCTCCACAGGATTGTTGTCGCCTGTACATTTATTCTTGTCATCAGCCACATACACACATACAATATACCCTAGAAGTCTAATTATGGTTATTATGTATTCTTACTCTTAACGGTTTGCAAGTGTGCATCCTGGTTCTTTAATTTTTTTGAACATGTCTTCTATGTTTTTGTTACTGAAATGTAGACGGTCCCCAAACAGGATGTATTATGTGCTCAGTAAAATTAGCTTGCAGAGAGATCACGCCAAACAAAACTAGGCTGGAACTGGTATTATACAAATTATTTCCTTGTTTTGTAAAAAAGAAAATTGGTACGCCCTTTTAACCCATACCCAGTAAGTACCTAACTGTTTTGTTGTATAATGGGTTCACAAAGAAGGATCGTGTCTACTTTATTTGCTTTTTGCAGCACCCAAATAGCAGGTTGACATTACAGCTGCTCACCTGCCTTCAGCTAGTTCATCTGAAAGGTCCAAACCTATGTGAACATAAATCCTCATTAATTTTGCTCAGTGATTCAACTCCTTCCATTCCAGCAAAAACTATTTTCAAAAGCTTTTTAGATATCAGTTTCATCATCTGAATTCCTCAGCTTTTCCATTTCTGATCCAAAGTTCCCTTTTCCCAAATAATTTACCACCAAACCACTGCCGGGACACATGCCAGACAGCTGTTAAGCAGCACCCCTTTGGTTTCCTCGTGTTCGCTGTGACACCGCTCTCTACCGTCCTGCCAGGACCTCACTGCCAAACTCTTCTTCGCCTTTGAGAAGTAAGCAGAGCCCACGAGGGCAGCCCAGCTCCATTGCTGGATCATAGCAAAGGCCTCCCTTCTCCGCCTGAGCTGGCCCTACTGCTATTACTGAAACCATTTCTCAGGGTTAGCCCTTTGATTTCATCATTCTTATCCACTGAGCTCCCTGCATTGCTTATTTTGGGTTCCTAATTATTTGACACCAACCCAATGCCTTCTGCTAGATTACCTGAACCAGGTAAATTATTCCCTCAGCTACAAATCTCTTTTCTCCAGGCTTCTTCCTTCTACACGTTACACCCAATGTTTCCCAACACACAAGAACTTTCGCCTCATTCAAAAGGTCACAATAGAAGTATACTACCTCAAAGAAATCTACCCAAATTAACGTAGGGTTAAGGGTACAAGAGGACAGAAAAGTCAGGCTAAAGTGCTCAAAACGTAGTTGGCAATTTTCCTATGACCTACAGTTTAAAAAAAGAAAACTTTTTTTAGAAGAAAGGTATCCATTTGGTCGCCCACTGCCAATTCCCACATAGCACAGATGACGTTCTGTTTTCTGTGATATTTAATATATCGCTTGACCTGCAAAAGTTAAAAATCAACAGGATGATGTAAAAGAAATCTCCTGAATTCTAAACGTACTGGTGTCGCTGGGCAGAGGTATAACTCATGTTATCATTCACGATGTATGAGCAAAAAAAAAAAAAGAGTGGCTCTCTCCTGCCCCTTCCCCCTAGCTCTCTGAGGAAAAGGAACTCTCCCAGGGTAACAATGCTAAAGAATGAAGGTGAGCCCCTCAATAACTGCCCCCACAAACTTTGTGAGGTCTCAGTCTCAAATGGCTCCAAACACAGCTGAGCTATAGTCATCTACGTACCCTGTCCTGTAATTTTTACCATTGTTCAGCTCATGGAAAAGTGCCTCAAAAAGTGCTAAGAAATGCTATCTCGCAAACACTGTCCTCCCTAAATCAAAGGCCCACCTCTGAAGTGGAACGAAAGCACCTCCCTTCCTCGCACCCCCCGCGTCTCTTTTTTGGCTGAAACACACAGTTAACTTCTTAAAAAAAACAAACAAACAAACCACCTTGACTTCTTTGGCTTAAACTGGAAACTCTCTGATTACACTGAATTCAAGCACTCGCATACACTAATAAGTAGTGATGTAAAACTTTCCGGTCAAGTTAAGAAAAACGGTAGAAAAATGAAAGGGCAATGAATTGCCATCCCAGTCATTTGTGGTGGCTGTAAAACTGGTGGTCTGGATGTTTTCTACCAAACACAAGAGCCTGAGACGTTATGGACGTGATTCAGCTACTGACATCCAAAAGCTAGCAGATTCCGTAAAACAATCACTCATTTCTAAGACTGCCCACTGACACAAAAGACTGTCATAAAATTTAGCAATCCTGAAGTTTCTGTATGCCTAAAAGACAACTAAATATTTGCTTTAAAAAACTGTCTAGGCCCAGAGATATCATCACTGGGTTTAATAAACTTTCGGTGTAATAAATACTGAAACAGCTCAAATAATTCTCCAAAAGAAACCAGACACAGGCACGCTCTGCCTCCTGGGAGCAGCCCTTGTCTTTCCCTTCCCCCTCTTCTTCCCCCACAGGCAGGCATCTCCGAAACTCTAAGGGACCCCACGAGACTCGCCACTAGGGGAGCAATGGGCAGCGATAGCTCGTCCCAGCCTAACCCCTTGAACCAGTCCCCCAGGCCGTCTTTTATCTGAATTCCCAGCGAGCTGACAGCAGCCCCGCCTTGACTCACTTCTTTCCCGAGACATTTCTAGGGAGCCAGGGCAGCCCCACCTAGGTCTCTCCTGTTGCTTCTTCTATTCTAGGCCCTTTCTTGTTTCACTGTCCCAGCTTTAACAAACATTCGCAAAATAAAAATTTAAAAAGAAAGAAAGAAACCAGACCCAGGGTAACTGATTTTGTTTTCAGAATCACAACCCTCAAATCCACTAAAAAAAAGGGGGGGGGAATAGTTTAAAGAATGCTTTGTTTGGAAAGAAGCTATGACAAAAACAAGCCAATGAATCAACTAAACGACAGCCGACAGTTCAACCTTTCCTACTTGTTGAGAAAATGTTGACAGAGTAAACAAGGCGTGTGTCCCAGAACTAAATGTATTGCACAAACAAAGTGCAGTTATTCCGACCAGTGCCATCGGTTGGGTTGTATTTAGCCCCTATCAAATCAGTCAACTGAAACATGTGAAAAAAAATTCATTTAACCAGGTGTTCCCACTAAATTGATAGCAATACACAGTTCTGTTTTTGTGTGTTTGTTTTGTTTTGTTTTTATAATACAGGAAGCAAACAATTGCCAGAAAAGTTAATTACTGCTACTGCTTGAAACAACTTAATGAATTGGTTGGACAGCAAGCAAGTTGAATCAGAGAACTGTTTTGATGTTGAAAAACTGTTTTCAAACAACAAAAAGGTAGACTTCCCCTACTCTATATTAAACATTGCTTACCTGTATCTTACTTAAAAAGCTACCCAATAGTTAATAACTTGCTCCTGTAATTGACATGTAACTGTCAATCATTAATTTCTTGCAATCTACCACTGAGAACATATCACTTCCTCATAAATCTTTATTTAGAAATTACAATTACAGAAAGCCATGCTACTGAAAACTGGTATTTCTGCTTTTCTTTAATAAAGATTGAGCCAGCCTTCTTTTTACAACTTTAGCAGCAAAGAAATTTACAGCTACACCCGAAACTCAAATCTATGATCAATTTATTCATCTTAACATGACACTCCTAGTTTTATTTTCTTTGGTACTGGTTTTCTAGTTTTTTTTTGAAACCACTATTTCTTGTAGACGTTGTTTTATAAACTGACATAGCACACTTGTGTAAAAGATAGTTCATTTTCTCACTGTTTTTCTCTGGTACTTATGAATCTGAAATACTTCAATTGAGAAGCCACATAAGTAGAGTTCATCAGCATTTCAAACGAGCAGAAATTAGTATTCAGAACTTGTACCAAAGTACACTTTCACACCTTCACCTTTAACACATCCTTACACTCCTAGAAAGAATTCAGTTTTAAAAATGCAAACCCACTTCTGGGACCTACTTAAAGTATGCACTTGACTCTTTGTATAATTAAACTGAAGATAAAAGCTTCCAGAATTTTAAGGTACAGAAAGGATGCCAATGCATCAAAGTTTTAAAAGTCTTCTTGAGAGAGGGGGAAAAAGAAGGAAGCTGATGCATCAACATGGAAAAGAAAAAACAAAACTTTTAAAGCAAAGTGAGAAAGAAATAATTTGCCACCTGTAAGGCTATCATTTTTCATTTCCACTTTAAGATTAAGGGCGCCTCATCATCTTCAGCTATCCCATTTCAAACACTCACTCAGAGCACTCCGATTTCTCCACGGCCCTTTCCTCTCCCCCAACCCGGAGCTGAGGCAGCAGCAGCGGCACTAGATGACAGCACCCTCCACTAGGGGGTGTAGCAGGGCGGCTGCTACACTGGGGGCTTCCTCAGGCCTTGGCCTAACACCTTCCCCGGCTGGAACAGCTTCACCCAGGCAGGTGAAGCCAGAGCTTCTTTCCACCTTCCCCAAAACGCACTTCCCTTCAACAGTGCTCCCTGATACACAGGCCTGCACAGTCTGTTCGGGTCCAGGAACCGGCGACGAGACATTGCACGCAGATTAGATAAACTACAGGTACATAGTGTTAATATTACTCAATTACCTTGGCATCGAACTGAAACAATGACCTAACTCTCCACCTTTACTCCCTGCAATCAAGTCTCTCTTCTACCCTTTGCTCAGGGCGGTATGCTTTTTTATTCAAAAGCCAGTTGTTTTTCTAAAAAAGGAACATTTTCTGAAGGGCTCTAAGTCCAGCTTGAAGTTCAAGCTATCTCAAAGCCACCCCAAAACCTACTCAGCTGCCACATAACGGTCTTTGCTCGTAAAAGTATCCTGACTGCCCTTCTTCCACACCTCATTTGAAACTGCTTCTGATGTCCACTGGCACAGTCTCTTTTACTGTTTTTCTTTTCCCACAGAAGCAATGTGTGTTCGATGCAAAAACTAAAAAAAAAAAAAAAGCCAAGGATAAACAAAATTATTCTGGAAACCCACCATCCAGAGATAATCACTGATCACATATTTGTGTATACACTGGCATTACTATTTTTTATACACACACTCACATATGTTTAAAACAAAAATAGGCTCACATGGTACACTGTCTTGTATCCTGCTTTTTGCATTTCAAAAAAATACCAAATTTTTTTCCTTATCAATACCATCCGAAAAAGTTATTTTTAATGGCTATTTGCAATTTACTCTTTCGAAAACCCCCGGGAGCCCTCGAAGTCCTTCCGTCTTTCCTACTTTCCTGCCCCCGCACCTCCACTGTGAGCACAGCACACCACGGCAGGCAACGGCAGCCCTTCCTCGGTGGGCATCACTCAACGCTTTTGGACCACTAGCCCTGCTGCACTTGTTTCTCAGAGCCGTGATTCCACGTGTGTCCTGCGCATCTGTGAGCTGACGGTGAATCAGTCACTGGCTCCGCCCCCCAGGCGCCGGGGCGGGGCCACGCTGCCACCTCGGCAACCACGTGCCCGTCCCCCTCACAGTCCACCACGCAGAATCCGAAACGATAACGACTCCAAACAAAGTCTGAGTCGTACACGGTGTTTTTCCCAAAGCGATGACTTCACTGTGTCTTTAAGAATTACTGAACATTAAGTTATTTAAACGTGTTTCTCTCTTTTGGTGCTCCCTTCTCATCACTCAAACACACTTCGATTGCCTGGTGACTGTGTCCCCGGGACCGAGCCAGGACTAGGTTTTGTTCTACCGAGTAGCCTGAGGGTAAATTCAGATTGTAAAGTCCACGCACAGTCCAAATCCCATGGCTGGGTGCGAAGGCAGAGTCCGGTGAGCACCTTTTCAACAAGAGAATATTAACGACCCGCTCAAAGCTGTGCTGTTCACAGGGCATCACTGGCGAGTGCTTTCTGCTCTGTGCGAAGCTGGTATTGGCTGTGCTTTCTTTAGTCTGATGAGCAAACATCAAGACCTGCACTGAGTGATTTTATAGGAGAATTTCAAGGGACACATCCAGCAAATCTTCATATGTCAACTAAGAGAGATGATTATGATTCAAAAAAATTAAATGTCAACACACTAAAGATATTGATAGTGGTTAAGAGTCTGGGCTCGCAAGTCAAACTGCTTTGGCTTCAGTTCTAATTTTCACCAGCCGAGGGATCTATGCCTCCGTATCTCTGTTTCGTCGGGAAAAGATGCCTCCTTCATGGAGCTATTGTGAGGATTAAATGACATAATGCATATAAAGTGCTTAGGGCAGTGGACTGCACCTTCAATAAATAGTAGCTAATTATCATCATTATTTTTCATTATTATACGTTTTTTCATGAAAGATTCAAAGCCTAACTTTCCGTTTCCTCCTCCCTTACTAAGGAATATACTATATCACAGAATCACAAAAATATTATACATGGTGCCCTGGCCAGGTGGCTCAGCTGGTTGGAGCGTCATCCCATAAACCAGAAGGTTGCAGTTTCAATCCCCTGTCAGGCCACATACCTAGGTTGCGGGTTTGATTCCTGGTTGGGGCACAAATGGAAAACAACCAATCAATGCTTGTCTCTCACATTCAAGTCTCTCTCTCTGTCTCTTTCTCAAATCAGTAAGCATATGGTCCGGGTGATGATGTTTTTTAATTTAAAAAAATAGTGGACATTGCTGTACAGAACCCACCCGTGGCTTATAATGTTCAGATCAACTGTTTTGTTCCAGTTTTCTCTAAAAATCAATTGAGTGCTCACTTCGGAGGCACGAAAACTAAAGTTGGGCCGATACAGAGATTAGCCCTGTGCCCAGGCAAGGGCGACCCACGAATTCGTGAAGCACTCCATATTTCTGTCTCTCTGAAAACCAGCAAATGCACTCTTTACTAATCTTTGGTCGATTGAAATGTTTCTTCCTAATGAGAAAGCACCTTTGTCATTTAAAAAATCAATTTAAGTTTAATATTTACATTTGATACAACTTACTCATCTTACTTATAATTAAACTGCCTGCATGCGATAAAGTATATACACACACTAAATGGAGCCTGCATATACTGGACAACACAGGTCTTGAGGAAACCACAGAGTTTTAAAAAAGAAAATGAGCCCTGGCTGGCATAGCTCAGTGGATTGAGTGCGGGCCTGCGAACCAGAGTATCGCAGTTCGATTCCCAGTCAGGGCACATGCCTGGGTTGCAAGCCAGTTCCCATCGGGGACAGACAGGAAGCAACCATACATTGATACTTCTCTCTATCTCTCTCTCTCTCCTTCCCTTTCCCTCTAAAGATAAGTAAATAAATAAAATCTTTAAAAAAAAAGAAAATGAAAGCTGGAATAGGAAGTAGCTCTGATACTGTTGTTAAAGTTGAATATCCTATCTGATGCATCTTTCCACTTTAACGGATATGCAAATAACATCTTTACAATCAGCAAATGAAACAGACTACCTTAAACCATACTGTCAGGTTTATCGTGAACTGAAGTCTAGGTCTACCCAACCAGACAGGTATGCATTAGAAAGGTAGAATTCATCCTGAATTTGCCTACAGTTATTTTGAAACCCTATAATCTAGAAATACTAGAGTTGAAGAGTTTTCTTTTTTCTACTTAAAGAGTACTGGGAAGTTATTATTAAAATGCTTTATTAATTCTTTGTTATCTAAAAGATAGAAGAAAGTGGCAGATACAATGAAGAAAAGAGTTGGCCAGCCTTTAGACCCTGGGACCACCTACTAATTTGGCTTCCTTGATTATAGGCGTAACAGTCTGCTTTAGTCTGGGGAGAATACTCTGCGTGATGATGAAAGACACTTATTTCCCCACTATATGTTCATTTGGCTCTATTACTTAACTATATTGTTTATACAAGCCTTACCAGGAATATGAATAGCTTATCCAAATAGCCACTCATCAGCCCAAAACAAACAAATAAACAACCACACACTACTTCTTCAAAGAACTAGAGTTCCATAAATCCATAAGTCCTCCAAAATATATAAAACTTAAACTTAAAGGAAAGGAGAATTACCACCCATTCTATGGATCATTGATGCCACTTCAAGCAAAAAGAATAGGCTCCATTTATATGTACTTGTCTCATATTATTTCTTTGTAAAACCCCAGGAGATAGACGTTCATACGTTAGTCTAGAAAACCGCAGCTCCGAGAGGTTCAGTAATACGCCCAAGCTAGAGTTAGTAAGTAAAGACAAAGGACTTGAATTCATGACTTTCTGACCAAACAGCTAATGAGGCAGAGGACACTACCGGCAATTCTTTGTGTTATGATAACTGTACACCAGTGTTAGTGACAATGGAGGCCAAGGAATACAGAACCAAGGTCCTTCTAGTACTCCCTCCCAACTCTGCTCACGCCCAACGCTGGAATCCAGTAAACTGGATTCAAGTTATTATTTTTTTTACATAGTTGATTGCTCAAGAATGAAAACAACTCCTTTATGGGTCTCATCCCCAAATCACAGGTAAACTGTCTGCATTATCTTCTATTGATTAGTAGATGAGCAAATACTACCAAAAGACCCAGAAATGTAATGATATCATACCTGCCCTTTTCACACTAATAAGTACCATAGAAGTGCAGAAGAGACCACTTGTATCGTTGGCACCCACACCCCAAAATGCCCTTAACTTTATAATACCTTCCTGCACTTACACATGAAGGTCACCCTTAACTAGTCTATGAACGTTTGATACTATTCCCCACTTAATATTATTCAAAGTGTAGGTGTTCACTAAATACATGTTAAAAGGAATGAACAAAACAAGGATGAGTTCAACCTTAAAGAGCAAGTCGGATTTGGAGAGACAGGGAATAAAAATGGGGGAAGGGTATTTTAACAACGTGTATGGTGACCAGGCTGGAAACTGCTTGGACAATGAAGACAGCTGTGAGCTAATTCTTTTGACCAAGCACCCAAACCAGGGAAGATCTGGAATTCCTGCGTAGGGGACTGGGGGGTTCATTTTCTGAATTAGGCCAATTGTTCTTAAACATTTCTCTTCAATACAGAGAAACTGTTTGTTTACATGGACTGTTCTATGAATCCCGATATGTAAAACAGGTGTAAGCAGTCCAGGTTAAGGCCGCCTGAGCCCACTCAGCACCCGCCTTACCTGACTTGAGAAGACCCAGAAACTCTTCACTGGAGCACAGCTTGAAAATCACTGACTTAGCTGGCTGGTGTGGCTTGGTGGATCAAATGCCGGCCTGCAAACCAAGAAGGCACCGGTTTGATTTCCAGTCAGGTTACGTGTCTGGGTTGTGCGCCAGGTCCCTACTAGGGGGTGTGCGAGAGGCAACCACACACTGATGTTTCTCTCCTTCTCTTCCTCCCTCCCTTCCCCTCTCCCTAGAAATTAATAAATAAAGTCTGTTAAGAAAAGAAAAAAGTCTGGAAAGACAGATCCTAAGTGCTGAGAGCACTGGCCTCTGGAGAATTGGGTCGGCCTACCTTGGTAGGGTAAAGAAAAACCTGAAATGCAATTTTCACTTTTTAAGTCCTGCATATTTTTATATTATTGAGCTTTTGTTTATCCTGAGCACTTTTTATTTTTTAATTTAAAAAGAAACAAGAAAAC